TGTTCTTGGATGTGTTAAGCACTTCTAGGGCTGTAACTAATGATTATTTTTCAAATCAATTATTTTATTGATTAATAAGAGCAAATCGACAGGAGAAAAAGTTTATTTTATCTTTTTTTACAGTTGTGTTATAATTGCTGCTTTAAGTGGGTTGCTCGGTCAGCTAAAGGCATATTTTAGTCTCTATACTACAGTATTATTATAGTACAATTACTATAGTTACTATAGTACAATTAATCGATTACTAAATTAGTTGACTATTATTTCAATAATAGGTTAATCCCGATTAATCTGTTTTAGCACTAGGCGCTTCCAGCAACCCTTAGCATAAAAAAGCACTACAATGTTTTGTCGTCAATGGTGGAGAAGATAAACTAACACCTGCAATCGTCCAGGTAATATTTCCTTTGCTCATATAAAAACGAAGCAGACATCATTAATTAAGTCAACATCTCCCGGAGTTTATCATTTTTTTTCCATAAAACTAAAGCAGCTCTGTTGCTTATTTGACGACCCTGAGTGAAAACACTATAAAAAAGTGATTTTGGACGCATTTTTTATGGAGATCATTTGGAAACATGCAGCAGGACAGTGAATATTAATGCATCTTTGCTTTGTTACCTCATAGGATTTAGTCTCAAGATCTTTCAGATGTTCTTCAGCCCCAGGCAGACTCTTGTAATAAGCCATGTTCCTCTGCATCATCTCGTCATTGGGATGTTTCAGCAGGAAGGTGTGAGCCGCAGACACAGCTTTGGCCAGGTTGTTAGACTGTCACACAGAAAGATGTAATAACAAATAAAGATTAGATCTATTCAATTATTCGGTTTTTAGACAAAAAAATAAATAAAACACCACAGTGCTAATTAATTAATTAAGACTTTTCTGTTGCATAGTCATAAATGAAATCATGCAAAATTTGCTAAACTTGACTGGACTTTAACTGGAATGTAATTGTTTAATTAGGCTGGTACGTTGGCCCACTTTGAGCACTGTTAGGTTTAGATTAAGGACCTGTTATACTGTGGAACTGAACCTTTTCCAAAAAGGACCATGATCAGAAGATGTGGCATTATGGACTCTTGATATCGGGACATTTAAATAATTTAACACCATGTGCCAACAAAATGAAAAGGGTAAGCTTTGGGACTTTTAACAGAATACCCTAAAACTTACAGAAATGGACCAGAAATGGATGGTTAATCAAGGAAGCATCAGTGAAGGGATGCACTAAAACATGGTAAATTATTCATCCATCCATTTTCCGTCACACTTGGGGGTCATGGGTCATGAGGGGTGCTGGTGCCTATGTCCAGTGGGCAATGTCCCCCACCAATTTTGGCCTGGTCCCCACCAATAATTTCAATACATAGACTTTGGCAATATGTGGGACAAATTTCTAAATTTTATGTTGCTGCTTTTGAAGGAGGATAATCTCTAATGTAGCTGAAAGGAAAAATATCAATTAATCCACATTTTTCTGGATGGATGGACGAATGAAACTGAAATTGTGTGCATATGGGAGGCATGATATATTGCTGTTTGCATCGGAATCGGCTGTCATTCATCCTTTTTTTTTTATACATTAACGTCTATCTATAGATATAAATGTCAGTGTATTTTGGGGCTTTTGTGTTCTCAACAATAGGAAAGCAATTAATTCAATTAATATATGTCTGAGCTCATTTTTGGAAAATACAAACCCTATTGAAAGAGTTTGTGTGGAGTAAATGTAGGTCCATCAGCCACTACCCTAAGAGTGTCCCTACCAACTTCCATCACAAAGTTAAACCCTTGGGGAGGAATCTGGAGTACCCAGAGAGAACCCATAGATGCACAGGGAGAAACTCCATGCAGAAAGTGATCAAACCCAAAAACTTCTTGCTGCAAGGCAGCAAAGCTACCCAATGTTCTACTGTGCAGCCCAAGGCAATTGATTATAGAATATTAATTAAGCTGATGATTTTTTTTTTTTCAATTTCCCATACTTTTCCAAGAAATAGAGGGAAACTCTTTCATAAAACATAAATTCCTACTCTGGCTCATGTCTTACTTTAAAGTACGCATACTGCAGGTATTTGTAGGGCTCTCTCCGCTCGAACTCGTCGATGGTTTCCCTGCTGGGTATGCTCTGTCTGAAAGCTGGCAGCCCCTGCTTGCAGCGCTTCAGACACTGCGCCCTCTTCATCACGTTCCCGAACGCCCGCAGTTCTGGAAAGTCCGCAAACTTCTGCTCGTCGTCCAGCCGCACCGAGCTGCAGTTGAGGTTGCAGAAGGCCTCGCTGTCCCGCAGCAGCCGGTAGAGCCGCAGCGACACCTCCAGGTACTCCACCGTGTCCTTCCACTTCTCAGCCGTGTACTGATCCAGCCCGTATTTGTAGGCAGACTCCAGAGGCATCAGCTCATGTCTGGGAAAACTCCTGAAGCTGTACTTTTCATACTGAGAGTTGGCTCCTGAGAGGAAGAAGCAGAGCAGACATAGAGAGAAGAGGAGAGAAGAAGTGGAGGAAGCCATGTTTGCTATGAAAAAAAAAAAAAAAAAAAAAAAAGTTAGTGTTGGAGGAGTTGATCCCTGACGTTTCTCCACGTATCCGGACAAAGCCTGGAACCTCCCCAGGACCCAGGATCGCTCAGAGGGTCCAGCACGGAGGGGGCCTGTATGGCAAGCCGTATGTCTAAATAATCTACATCAGAGGAAGCTGATTGCCTTAAAAAGATTTGCACTACCCGTATTTGGAAAAGCAACCATTTTTATTTAATCTTCTCACCTGATGTAAAAAAAATAAAATAATAATAAAAATAAAATGTAGTTCTTAGACTCTAATGTACAGATTTTTTTGATAAGGGGTTTCAATCTAAATGCCACGAGGGGGCCCGCGTGTTTTCATGAAATGAAAAACAGGCCAAGGGATTCAAATATATCAATAAAACAGCAAAAAGTGAAATTTATATTTAATAAGATTACATTAAAATAAAAAAATGTCTTATTAGATCAATATACATTCATCATTTAGGAATTTTACATATCTTTGACTTAATTTAAGCTAAAGTTACAGTTTTCTATAAAATCTGAATTAGAACAAAAAAAAAAACCCGGATAAATTCGGCTATTTCTATTCTCTTGTTTTTAAATAATTAGTAAAACTGAATTTGTAAAGAAAAAAAATTAAATAGATCCAAAGGACCTATCAGTAACCATGTCTGTTCCTGTGCATTTCATCATTAGAGTGTTATGTCTTCAGTACAGGGGCCATAATAGGGGCCAGGACATGATCTACGGGGGGCACTGGCCCCTGTCTAGAGCCACCAATGATTGGAATAAAGATGTAACATCTACTGATTAAAAAACATATATTATTATTATTATAAATTATTGATCACTCTTAATGAACTAAAAGGTAACTTTCAGTGGTTTCTTGAAAATTACTCAAAACCAGATTCAGATTATTTATCCCTTTGATTGGAACCTCAGGGAAATTGTTTTTCTAGAAACCACAACAGACAAAACAATGTGGTAAAACCATTGCTATGATCACTAAGATTTATTTTGTTCTGATTAGTGGTAGTATTATTTGCAGTATAACCATTATCACCACTTCGACACTGTGTTGCTGCCCTATTTTAACTTATTATAAGTTACTTATAACGTTTGTTCCATCATTTCATTGTTTTCTTACACTTGTACCCCTTCCCCACTGGCCAAAAAACCCATTTAAACCTGGGAACAAACGACTTTTAGTGGCAGTGGGAACAGCTCACTGACCCAGGTCGACCCTGATCAAATAACTCGGCAAGCGACCCAGGTTAAAATCGCTTTCATGCATCTCAGCTTAGATTGTTATACAGTAGTAAGATCAGACCTGAGTTGACCTGCAAACTTATGTGATATCATATAGACATATTGTATTGTATACTTTTAAAAATAATAATTTTTTGTTGTTTTTTTCCAATGTAGGCTACTACATGCTTGTAAACGACTAGGGCTTTAAGGCTTGTTCTAACTGATGGTGAAAATGCCATACAAGGAACATCAGAATCTGAGCTGTGGGAAGAAGAGTTACATTTGGATGAGTTTATTGGTTAGACTCCACCCCAAATTACGTACTTTAGACATGAATACTTGGACATCAAATAGTTCCAAAACGGCTTGCCATATTGAGCCGCTCCTCCCATGAAATCACTGCAGATCACTACTGATTTCTGCTCTTGTATAATTCTAAGTTAAATGCTAAAAAACAGAGACTTTTTGCACCTAATTGTGATGTTCTCTTATAAAGAAGAAGCTGGGGATTCTCTGTGATGCCTTTAGAAGTTAAACAATAACGTCCTTTTTTTTACTTTTTAGAGGAACAAGCTGCATTTAGACGTTTGATCCAGTCTTTTCCCTCTTATTTCAAATAAAACCCCTGGTGGGGGGTGTCCCTCCCACACCCACTGCCACGTAGGAACATTTCTAGCTTGGTCTGCCTCCCCCTCAAAAAGGCCAGAGCATCCCATAAAATACATAATCCAACCTAAAATCCACCACATCCTACTGTCTTAACCTCTGAATAAATGAAGGGTATCTGCAGTTCTGTTTATTTTTTGATTGGTTTAATTGTGCCTGCAGGCAGAGGATGTGCCTCTCTGTATTGCAGAGACCCCTGCTGTACCACGTTGGCATGTTTTTTTGCAGCTGCACTGCGCAGGACCAATACGTGGAGCCCAAACTTTCCCACTTCTTCCTGAAGGCATCAAGTTTACGCAAATTATGTGAAACTATACAGGAAATGGTATTTGAGATTTCAAATTAAGAGCAGAGACCCTCCTATTAAGATTTGTTTTTGTTAAAGTGTAAGTTTGCACGCACAGGGTTATATGTGTGCAACATGATAAGGTTTAATCTATTTCGGTTCATGCGTAAAAATACGTATTTAAGGGAGCAGGTGAGGAGTTGACGAGCGGATCTTTACCGGATGTGTTTAGTGTTTTAGGCAGCTTGACCTTCCTGCGCTGGACCAAGGGGAGGACTTCTTCCCAAGTCAGAGTAGTAAAGAAAACCAAGGTACAGCGGGAGCAGGTTGCAACCAATGTAGATAGATTTAAAGGCGAAAGAACAGTTGTTTCCCATTGCAGGAAAGTTTAGTGGAGGGGTAAAATGATCAAGTGTGCGCTGGGGATGTTGTCTTTGTCGCTCCTGGTGACGTTCGCCGCCTGTAACGCTCCTCCGGTCCCGTTAGAAGACATCCTCATTGAGAAAACCTTCGTGCCAGAACAATGTGTGCGCGCAGTCAAAGTGGGAGACTTTGTCAGGTATCACTACATTGGCACGTTTCCTGACGGGAAAAAGTTTGATTCAAGGTAAGTTCTTTTCTCTCTCTCTTTTATCAACCAGTTTTTCTTCATTCAAGCTGCGTAGAGGAGATGCACAGTGCAAACAGCGTGCGTGATGCGTAAAAGTGCGCGTTTTGGTTCATCCTGGCAAGCCACGCAGGCAGAATGGGTAGTCTGCTCCACAGTTCTTCTAGATGATAACCTGATGTGATGAGAGCTCTACTGAAATCAGGAAATAGATTCTTGCAATCCTATATACTCTTAGCAAAAAGTAGTTTATTCAAGTATACTAAAAGTGCACTAATTTCACACTTTTAATCAGGCAGTGCACTTACAGTTTACTTATTCTAAACTATATTACTACTATTACTATTGTTTACTTTATTGCTGACTAAAGTATACTTTAAGTGTAATTTAGTAACTTAAAAATGTCCCATTTTGGTTCGAAAAAAGTATTACTTTAGTAATACTTCAAGTACACTAAAAGTACATTGTTCGGTATACTTTCTAAACTTATACTTAAGTATTCTTAATATAATTTACTTCAAGTATACTACTTTTTGCTAAGGGTATAGTTATTGCAGACTTTTTCACCCTTTATCATCTTACAACCACACATTTAAATGTATTTTATTTGGATTTTATGGGCTAGAACACAGTTTGGCTTAATAGTAAAGTGGAAGCAAAATTATGTATTCTGCTCAAACCTCTGTACCGATATACAATATGAAAATATGCAATGCATTTTCACCCCCTTCTTTAAATACATTCTGAAGTCAGTGAATTAAACGGACTTCAGTCCCCTAATCAGTAAAAAGACGATTGAACTGGTCTGTAACGCCTCAAATAGAGCATCATGATGACCAAGGAACACAGCAGACAGGTTGGGGTTAACATTTTAGAAAGGTTAAAATCAGAGATTACAAATTAAAATTCAAATAGATGGAAATCTAAAGGTTCTTCCAGTTAGTCCCTTATTGTGGAATTAAAAGAGTATTGTACAAACAGTCAAAACGATCCATCAACCCAGTCTGACAAGTTAGGCATAAATATTGTCTATCTGATAAGCAGCCAAAAGGCCTTTGGTTAACCTGTAGAACTGCAGATATTTGCAACTCAATTGGACTTAACAGATCTGGAGCTTGTCTATAGCCGGTCAGTGTGTAAACTGCTGTGTGTGGCACCTTCCCCAAATAATAATTTACTGGTTGGATAGACCAGGTTCAGGGAAGCTGGTAAGAGCTGTGGATGAATAATCCTGGAAAACAAACCATCAACAGATGTAAATAACTTAGGTGTGGTCCAGGACTTTATGTTCTGGCAGAGGACAGACCAGAAATAGATGGAATTACCTTGATTAAACATACTCATGTGTTGGCCTATTTAACATCTAGATCCAAACTAATTGAGAATATTTGGAGACTTAAGAGTTATTAAAAGTGGACTGAATAAGACAAAAACACACAATGTACAAAACCATGCAACAGTGATAATTTACCACATTATATCACTGTGAAATAGATTGTAGTGAAGCTTGTGCTTCTAAATTGACTCCATGTGGAAGAGATGAATGCATTTGTAAGGTTGGATTTTAGAAAACATAATATTGATGGAGCCAATCTTCTGATCACCAATAAAAACTCAGGTCATTAAAGGCAAGGAAAACTTACATAAGACGAAAAAAGACTCTAAATATTTGAATTATACTGCAGATATCTAAATCAGGGTATACTGACTTCACTTCTCCCCTTCATTTATTATTTTCATATTTGGGTTTAAAAATAATTTCCTAGATTTAAAGAACATTATGGGCTGTGACCAAATGTGGACCCAAACCCTTTAATCACTATATAGTGGACTTTATGGTGAACTCAGTTTACTGACCGCTCAGATAAATGACCACTACCTTTTGCTCCCAGTTGGTCGTGTTACTCCTCGTACAGTGCCTACGCCATTTTTGTTCTCTCTCACCCCCAAACCAATTCCCATAATGCTTTGCAGGGAGAGCTCTTGCTAACCATTCTGGGATATACCTGCATGTCTAGCTACCATCAATTTATACTATTTTTTAAAGGTGGATTGTGTAAATTTTGAGTACCCTACTTTTTCATCCACTAGACTCTAGTGGATGAAAAAGTAGGGTTTGTCTAGTGACTAGACAAACGGACACTCATATTAAATGGAATATTAAAACTATATAGGGGTTAGGGTGGATGTTCTGACACAGCCTATGTCTTCTGATCAAATAACAACACGATAAGCATAAACTATTATTTTTTTATTTGGGTCTAGTTTCATTTTAAAGCTACAGTGAGTAATTATTAGTGACATCTAGTCGTTAGGCTACAGACTGCAGAGACATTACGCCCTCCCCCAACTGCTTCTTCTCTTCCAACAATACGGAGGCTGTCATGGTACAAAATGGTCCCTAAAAGTCTGCATCACCTTTCATAACAAGTGATGTCTAGGTTTGTTAACAGAAATGATTTTATAAATAGACTTATTTGTTTGTGTAAGATATAGATTTTATATAGGCCTAACTTGTAACAGTCTCTGGTTTGTCAGTATTTTCTAAGGCAAGGCAAAGAAAAATCTAAGACTTTAGGTCTTAGATGATAATAAACAACATACTTATGTTTAATATATTACATTTATATCAGTAAATCCATATAATTATTACACACTTGAGCTTTAAAGATTTTATACAGATGAAAACACTTCACTGCTAGGGGCAACAGATGTAGATCCCCTTTAGGATATCTATTGAGTCATTTTCAAATAATACTTTTTGTTGTTTCAGCTATGATCGTGGGAGCACCTACAACGTGTTTGTTGGCAAAAAGCAGCTTATTGAGGGGATGGACAAAGCTCTGGTTGGGATGTGTGTCAATGAAAGGAGCCTGATCAAGATCCCTCCTCACCTCGCCTATGGGTCAAAAGGATACGGTACGTGTAGTTGTACAGATTGTTTCTTCATTTGCAAACTCAGATGTTTCAGTTTAATAAACACACTTTAATACCAGAGAAAATTAATTTAGGTAATCATGAATGCAGTTCTCAAACAACTGATTAATTTATATTAACTAATCTTGTTCCCAAACCAACCTGATCCTTTATATAGAAGTGTTTTTTTCTGTGGAACTAAATCAGTGACAACTGTTCAAACACTGACCATTCAAACATTAAAAATGAAACACTGAAATTTTAGACTATGAAAATTGAAACATTACAAATATAAAACTTCCTCTAAAAAAGTAAATGTTAATATGAAAGTGTCATTTTAACTGCAGCATAAAAAAAAAAAAGATTTCAGTGTTACTGAAGATTAGCTTCACACTTCTAACAATCCAGCTACTTTTATGCATTTCAAACAGTAAACTTTATGTATTTGAAATGAATTCACTGATTAGGATTCAGTTTCAGTAAGTATATTTTAATAATTCTAAATAAAATAAAACCTCACAAGTATTTGAATAAATAAGCTATATTAAATTCATGAATATTAATCATGTAAAGTTTATTTAAAAAGTTTTTATTAAAATAACTGAAACAAAATAAAAAAGGGGCAATGTTTTGTAATAAATTAACATAAATCATAAAATGTGGGTGAAATATTTCTGTGAGTGCACCTATGATGTTACTAAAGATTTTGATGTTTTTTGTGGCGGGGCTTTGCTGAAGGCTCCTATGATGGCCCTTCCTTGCCTGACAGGCACCAAAGTTTGTTCAGGGTTAATCTACACCACTGATTCCCAAAGTTGCCTTGATGATCAGCAAAATCCACTTGAGGTCACTGATCAGCGATCATGGGGGCTTGTGATCCTCCACAAATCAAACTAAACATAAAAATTATACTGATGAAGCATATTTATGTGTTCAAGGGTATAAAAACATTGTTTAGAAAACAACATTATAATGAGGACATTTCACTCGAGAGTATCACTGCTACCATCTTCTGGTTTAAATGGGAATTGCTTTTTTTGTTGGTTAACATCCATACTAGAACAACAAATCCCCTAGTAGGGTGTCCAAGGACGGGCCATGGCCCTCCCTAGCTCCACCCCTGTCTCCCTGAAGAATTTTTTCCAACTCTTCTTTGCTAATATGTTCTTTTTCTATTTTCCACCAGGAATATGTTATTGTTAATAAACAGCCTGTTTAAGGTCATTCCCCCCAGACTTTGACCTGACCCCTTTTAATTAAAAGGTTACTTTTACTAGTGATTTAGCAAAATAAACAAAGTTTCACTCCCTCTTGCTACCCCAAATTATTTTACAAATTTCCTTATAAAGATGTCTATTTCATTTGAGGCTAATTTTACAAGGCAAGGTTTTAAAATTGTTGGTTGATTTTTTTTGGAACTTCAGACCCCGCAAACCCCAATTAAAAATTGCCATCAGTTTACCAGGATTATAAACCTACCTTTAAATATTCTGTAGTTTTTTCAGGCGGCAGATCACTGCAAAGCGGCGGGCTGTTGCACTGAGATCCCCAATTGAAGTTCACTAAGGATCTCGTTTTCCAGCTGGAAGTGAAAATAATGTTTTTAATGTGGTAAAAAAAATCTGCAAATACCAGAATATGATACATTATTCACAGACAAGTTTTAGCATTTTAAAGGAGGTGGATTTTTTTTAAAGACTAGCCCTTTCAAGTTTAAAAAAGCTCGAAGTCTCAAACTGCTGATAAAACAGAGTGAATGACGGAGAGAGCAGAACAAACACCAGAGGCTTCAGACACAAGCTGCTCCTTACTGATGGATTTTAAGGAAATTTTGACCAAAGGTGCACCTCATATCAAGGAACAATTCATTACAATTTCACCATGATTCATATTATGTGTGAGTTTTAGCTATAGGTGTCACAATATGGGGCAAAATCTGCTTCTTGGTGGCAGTCTGTGTTCTCAGTGAGGTTTTCTAGGATTTTTGTTAAACCATGAAAACACGGTTAAGGAATTGAGGCCTGCAGAGCTCCATATGTCCTTTTGGGATCTTTTGTGACCTTCAGGATGAGTTGTTCATAGACTTTTGGATTACTTTGGAGTTCACCATCATTTCATGTTCAATCTAAAGTTCTGCAATTAAAATAACCTTCAAATGCACAATACTGGTGCAGCTCACAATTAATCTACCGCTGGATCATAACACTAAAGCTGCTGTTGCTATGCTTTTGTTTCACAGTTTTTTGAGGGCAGAAGAAGTGGGCTGCTTAACATCTACACAGAGGGATGTTAGAGAGTGATTACAGATCAGGAAGCTGACATGAGGCAGCCTAAAAACGAGCCTTGGGTGATCATGTAGTCATGTAGACGCGCTCTCCAGCTGTGTTTGTAACCAATCAGCTGACTCGTTGGTCAGGCTGAAGAGCTTTTGTGACCTTACCTGCTTACAATTACCATTATAAAGGAGTGCTTATACGTGCAGACTGCATTTCTATTTGCATGTGGCATGAAGGGGTGAAGAGGAGGGTGGGGGCATGTTTGAGCATGTTAGACCTGGGGCTGTTAGTCAGAGACAAAGGAGAGGAAGAAACACATTTTTCAGTAGTTAAAAGATATTTCCAGAAGTGCCGGCTCAATAGCAAAGGTTTAAAGACACCTACCGACTAATAGACAGGGCAATGTGACGTCTTCTTGATAGAGACAACCATGATTCGTCAAACTGCAGGAGATAAAAGGTGGTTTTGTTTAGGGAAACGACTCTCTCAGGTTCTCAAATAAATGACCTTAAAAAGACGCTTTATTCCCCAGCTCTGCCATGCAAATTTGTATTGTCCATTGTTCTCCTGAGTGGCTGAGAAACCATGCAGAATCCCTTTGTTAGATGCCAGATTAAAGATTTAGCCCTTCTATGGTTCGTCACGCACAGGGGGGTGAAAAGGGCGAGATTCTTTTAAAAATAAACAATTTTAAACCCAATTTTTGTCTAAAATAAGCATTAGAGATATTGATTTTTAAATTATTACATTGAAGATTTTGTTGTGGCTCTAGTCTAGTGACCTCAATCAGACAAGAAATGGAAAAAGAGAGAGGGAAGGGCGGGGGACACTACAAAGATCTCTAGAATTTCAACCTCAGAAAGGTGTCCTAAATATTGTTAGCTTTGTTTAAGGGATGACCCCTTTAACTCCACTCCTCCTTATAAAAAGCCCAATTTCTTACAGACTCCTCAGCAATATCTGTTTATTGCCACACCATTATAGATGCATTGCTCAAATCGACCACATCTTTACCCAGCTGATTATTCAGGCCAGATATACCCGGAAAATAAAATAAATTCAACACCAGAATATCAGAATGAGAGGGAGATGTTTAGCCTACTTCATGTTGTTGCACCGGCTGTGTTGTAGGGATTGCTTTAAGCTGGTGGTTTGCTTCAGCAGGCTTGCTTCCTTTATTACCTGAACTGTTCAACTTTGAATTGCTATTAGTTTTTTCTAAAGCTATCTTTGTCTAATATAATTTGTTTGATGATCAGAACACATCCACAGAGGGTAAATACGTCTTTGGTGCATGATGCTAGTATTTTGTCTCAGCCTTTTAAATGCTGAATCAAAAACAGAGGTGCACGCTATGCAGTTTTTGTATTTTACTTTTCTTGGAGCTAAGATTATTGGAGGCATCATTTTTACTGGAAATAAAAATAATAACCTAAAAAGTCTCGTAGGAGGGGAAATTGACACAAATGGAGAATTATCAGCATCTCTGTTTGCATATCATTCATATGGACCATGTTTAAAATCCCCCTATAATGCAAATAGCTTCTGGCACACTGAAATACAGGGTGTGATTATCTCCTGCTGGTACCTATGATCTAAGTTAACGAATTAAAAACACCTGGTAGTCAAATAAATTAAAACTCCTGCTTTGAGTTTTAAAACAGACTGTATTTCTTTGACAAATTATAAACTGTTCTCCGCCTCAGGCGACATTATCCCAGCTGATTCCATCCTTCACTTTGATGTTCTACTGCTGGATGTGTGGAACCCCGAGGATGGCGTCCAGATCAACACCTACTACACTCCCTCCAACTGCTCCAGGAAGGTGGAAGTTTCCGACTTTGTGCGTTATCACTACAACGGAACCCTGCTGGACGGGACACTCTTTGACTCCAGGTTTGGCCTGCATCACCACTCATTTAACCAACTGCTAAAATATGAAGTAACAACCCAATGTTCTTCATTCTGTGTCACAGCCACACTCGCATGCGTACCTATGACACCTATGTTGGGATCGGGTGGCTGATCGCCGGCATGGATCAGGGACTTCTGGGAATGTGTGTTGGGGAGCGCCGCATCATCACCATGCCTCCCTCCCTCGGCTATGGAGAGAATGGAGACGGTTGGTGTTTGTAGCTTTCTCAATAAAATTTTCTTTGGGTTTTCTTTTTTTTACAAATTTAAATCTGAATTGGACTACTGTAATCCAAATCAAAATGTTGCCTTGGATAAGTCTTTAGAAATATGATTATACATTTTTTTTTTAAGACATTAACCTTTCAGGCTCCTTAGCAGTTCAATGCATGCACACCTGAATGGGCCAAATATGCTTTAGCTGCATTATTTACTTAAATTAGATAAAATCTGAGAAATTGTCTTGATTGCGGATGCATTCATCCAAAACCTGCATAGTTATGTTAATCAGGATTAAACGGCCTTAAGAAGTCAATTTAATGCTGAAATAATGTTCAAGTCTGCTATGTTTCGTACACGAAGGCTTCCAAAATGTCTAACAAAATCTTTTATATCCTAAGAACCTTTAAATATACCTTTACATTATATAATATCTGGGACGAGTGGTGGACTAGAGGTTAGGGCATAGAGCTTGGAATACTGAGGCTCTGAGTTCAAGCCCCACTCCCACAGACTGCCACTCTGGGTCTCTGAGCACAGCAAAATGGCAGCCCACTGCTCCACAAGGGGATTGGTTGAATGCAGAGGTAAATTTCTCCAATGCGAGATCAATAAAGTTTAATAAAAGAAAAGAAATGGAATGATTTTTATCAGAGACTTTTTTAACCTTCATTTGTGAGTCAATGCAAAAACAAATTTTCACAGTGGGATTCACTTTTAGATTAAAATCTAAAACTGCAAGAAAGACAAGCATTTGATTTTTTTTATATGAACTGGTATTTTTTTTTTTAAGCAACAACCCCCTTGAGAGGCCCTTAGAGTTTCAGGGGCCTTATTGAAGATGGCTGCTCTTTGGTTCCCCAAAAGCTGAGAGTAGAGTTTTTCGAAATCCATTATGACTCCTGCAAAACTGGAGATACTGTACCATCATGAAAACCTCTCACTGCAGTGAAACATCTGAAGAGAAGCAGGCTACATAATAAATCCGTCCTGAAACAAGAACCAAGCTCAAGCTTTCAAGAGCAATTTAAATTCTCACATTTAGAAACAACTTATGAATGAATGAAAAGCATAAATAAAACTACATGAACAGTTCAAGAGGAACAGAAGAATAACAGAAGAACTGGTGCTTCACTTTTTGTCTTAACATGCCTGAATTATTTTCTCAAGCTTTTAAATATTTAAGGATCGTTATACCTTTGCAAATATTTTTGAAAAAAGTATTTTTATTTATTTTTTAGTAGCCAAAGTATCTTCTCCCTTTGTCCCACAAAATGCTGAAGCTACACAGATTACCTATGTGGGTGGCTGTTTCAAATTGTAATCATATTACCATTAGAATTAATAGTAAATGTCATATATTTGCTTGTTTGTTGTCTCTGTATTGGATGAAAATAACTTTAGTACCGGTAGTTAGTTGCCAATAGCAATGTCTGAACACGAGCATTTCTCTAATACTACATCTGTGGTTTTCATCATCTTCACCCTCAGGTAGCGACATCCCAGGTCAGGCGTCTCTGGTATTTGATGTGGTTCTGTTGGACCTTCATAACCCCAGAGATGGAATCACAATCACTAATCAAATTGTTCCTGAGTCCTGTACGAGGAAGACGGTGGCAGGGGACTTTGTACGTTATCACTACAATGGCAGTCTGCTGGATGGGACCTTTTTTGATTCCAGGTTGGTTTTTTGTTTTTTACTGCTCAGCAGTTAAATATGTGCTGTTCCCCCAAAGGCCTCATGGTGGCAGCATTGGCCTTGCTTTAAAAATGATCATCAAGAAGAAATGAAACTCAATTATGTAACATCCTGTGCTTAAAAAAAAATTCATGTTTGTCTTGAATAGCTTATATAACAGATTCGATATTTATTAAACAAATGGACTGAAACAATCACAAAAAATTAAGAGAAATAACTCAAACTTTCTGACTTTTACAATTTATTGTCTTGTACATTTGTTGCTCAAGCCTGGTTTGTTTACATTTAATGTGTCCCTCTGGCATTGCACAGGTTTATATGTCAATATAGGAACTGCAGAGACAAAAATGTGGAGATATTTCGTTTTGTCCAGGTCAGGGTTCACCAAACTGGGAGCCACGAGAGGATTTTCACTATTATTGTGACGTGATCCTTAATGTATATAAAATGAAATATAAAAAAAACAAAGATAATCTTTTTAATGGTTTTCCTTTTCAAATAATGAATCACTTGTTGGTAGTTTTAAACTGCTAAATGTATTGGTTCTCTGCAAGATGTTCAACATGCTGATGATAATTAATGTCCGAGGGCTTCTTATTTAATAGGCAAGTTTTCATTTTCATAGAAAAATGTACTTTCAAACAGCTGTCCTTAGTGGGTGTCTTTTTATGGCCTGCTCAGAGCTCCTTGGACCGCCTTCCACTAATGCTTCAGTTTTTCCTGCAAAAAAAAAAAAAAAAAAAAAATGGGCAGAGATGGTTAAAGAAATGCAGACTTTGATTGCAGACTGCATTTTTAAAACAGCTATGCTTCCTCACAGCATTGCTGGAGTGTAAATACATACCTATGAGTGTTAACATTATTTACGGGTTCACAGCTTCTTTATTTAGAAAATCAAGACCCTTAACCCAGATGTTGATCTGTGGATAGTGCAGATAATATGAGAAGGAGATTGGTGGTTTTCATCCAGTCAGGATGACTTTTGATAATATTCAGCCTGTTCTAACTGAACTCTCAGCTGTCACACATTAAATATCTCACAGGAGGCCTGGGAATCCTTATATGGCTATAATGAGCTCTGCTATAGTTTTTCCAATAAAATGTTGACACAAGAGACTGGGCCTTGAACTAAAGGGAGGTTCCTGTCCTCATCTGACCTTGGGTGTCCCTGGCATTATCTGATCAGCAAGCAACGTGGTTTGACCAAGGTAGACAGGCTTCAGCGAGCTATTCCTACTGCCGCTAAAAGCTGTTTGTTAGGGGGTAGGGGTGGGGGACGGTGGCCATGCAGCGTGCCAGCAGGGGGTTAGACTCACCTTTTTGGTCAAATGGGAAAAGAGCCAAAAGGCAATTTCAGAGCCCCCGCTTTGAATAAACAGGTTTTCAGTGTCAAAGTGGCTTCTGACTTCAACTCCTTAAACACAGTTGTAGTGGATTAATATCTCACAATGAATAGAATGTAGTAGATTGATATCTCACAATGAATATATTCTTGTCACAATGGTTAAATGGTGTGTTTTAACATGTATCTAGGGAAATGAGTGTGTGTGGAAAAACCAAAGTCCAGCTGCTCTAAAAGGGTCAATGCAAACAAAAAGTTTCCATGGATATCTCTGTTACCTGATTTTGTAGCGGTTGCCCATTCCGGACCCTTTGGACCATGGTGATACACGTCTTGTTTACATTGACTTTTAGTAACCAGGGTGATACACGTCTTGTTTACATTGACTTTTAGTAACCAGGGTGATACACGTCTTGTTTACATTGACTTTTAGTCAACTAGCCTGACGTAGTCCTACTCAATTCTAGTCAGAATATGAGTCTGATACTGCTCCATAGAGCTGTGATTATGGGGTGTGTTTCGAACGAACCAGGAAAAAAAATGCCTCTGCACTCAATTGGATAGACCTACAACCAATAAGAACAACGGAGTGCGTGACGTATGTTAAGCGAGGCATAGTTGTTGTCCACAAAAATCAAAGCGTGCAGTTGCACGCCTAGAATAAGAAGATGAGCCTTGATGGCGTTTCTCTGTTCCTCTTTTAAAATTAATTTGCTGTCGATATCTTCTAGAACAGACCTAATAGCAGAATCTACTCACCTAAACTCTCCAAGGGCAGCCATTATTGTTGTCACCCAAGCGCGCATTGGTCACGTGGTTGATTACGTTATTGTTGGTCATCTGTCTATCATCGTATAAAGCCCGCCCTGACAATTTGATTGGATCGCCTGACGGTGGGCGATAATACTCGCGCTACTATGGAGCAGAGCCAGACCGAACTTCCCGACCTCAAACTTTGTGGGACTAAGTTCGGAATGGCACCCAGGCTACATGGCCACCCCATAAAGAGCAAGTCTTTTAAGTGGTAAAGAAAAGTTGTTGGTTAAAAAATATCGTAGTGAATATGATAAGAACACCTTGCTCAGTGTTGTTAAAATGAGAAGGATTTGTCCCCTTGTAAGGAAGGCTGTAGCGCCCCAGGGGCCTTCTCACCAGTTCTTTTCCTGGGAGCAAGTTATTTACTACTCTTAACTCAAACTGGGTAAAACCATATAAAAAAGGACTATAAAAACAGGAGTAAAAAAGTAACAGAGTTTATTACAGATCAGGTCGTTACAGGACAGAGAAAAATGCTTAGAGCTTGCACAGCTGTGGTTTAAAAAATCACGTCCGCAAGCGTCCGGCAAAGTTTGAGCCCCGAACGTCATCTCCTGCTTCTTATACCTTCTGAGTCTGTGTTGCATCATGTGGATGCTTAGCTGTCCGTATCAGAAACTGACACGCCATCCATGTCTTGAACTCCATGCAGGTTGCCTCTCTGTCTCAGGGTTACAGATAGCCCTCCTCTATCATACCGGCTCCAAGATGTGCCCATATCCTGTGTACTTCTAAAGACACGAAGGCTGTCCTGATTAGATGACCTCCGTACACACAGTGACATCCACAATGTGAAGGAAGGCCTTCTGCTCTGTCTAATCTGGCTAACAGAATGCACATGATGTATAATTAATTAAACCTAACAGTGTGTTTATTGTTTTCTTCAAATAAAGTTAGTTATAAAATTCATAAATTAAGAATTATGCAACAAGCATTATTCTCTTACATTCTATAACATTGTTTGTTGATGAAAAAGAGATGTGGGGAGGTAGAAAGACAAGCAACCTTGAAATTCCAGTCATTCCTCATTGAAAGCAAGGTGGTAAACAACTTACTATCTTAAACCAAATGAGATAACAGTTACGGTTGAGTTACATTCCTTTATACAAAACGCAGATAAGCCCCTGATACAGATTAGAGGATTCATTTAAGCGTAACGGTTCTGCTAACCAAAAAGAATCTATTTACAAACTTTCTCATTACGCTGTACTCACAGTTGGACTTTTGTCTTTTTAACAGTTACTCTCGTAATCACACCTATGACACGTATGTGGGTCGAGGGTATGTGATCGCTGGCATGGACGAGGGCCTCATTGGAGTTTGTATTGGCGAGAGACGGACCATCACCATCCCACCACACCTCGCTTATGGAGAGGAGGGCACGGGTGCGTGTGCACTTAAAATATTCAACTTTTTATATGTTTCTTCTTTGCAGAACTTTATTTATCTTTTTTTTCTGCCTCTGCTGCCAACTTCCTATAGGCTCTAAGATACCCGGTTCAGCTGTGCTCGTGTTTGATATTCACATGATCGACTTTCACAACCCGTCTGATAACACTGAGATCACTGTGACCTACAAGCCAGCAGAGTGTGACAAGCAAACCAAAAAGGGAGACTTCATCAAGTATCATTACAATGGTACCCTGCTGGATGGGACGCCAGTCGACTCCACGTACGTGAAACACCCTAACATGTTTACACAATTTTCAATATCTCAAAAAAAAAAAAAAAAAAAAAACTCAATCTGCTGATATGACTGGTTTAATTATTATGTGTGGAGGCTTTGCTCTGCCTCTCGGCTGGAAAACAGTTACAATGTGGGGCTATTAACGCAATTTAAATTTTTGTTTTGGCTCCAGCATTGATTTCAGATAAGGAAAAGAGCATTTTAAACCAACTCAGCTGTTCTTAATAATCAAAATGCTGTTTTGGTGACCATTTCTCTGATTTTTCTGTACAGTGTAGGACTCAGTGAAACTGATAGACAAGACTAAAGCAGGGAGAGCACCATATCAATAGATGCATTGAACATATTGACCAGATTTCAGGACACAAGGAGGTCCAAGTTTTTGTTAAAACCCCCTTTAATAAGTTGTGGGTTTTGTATTTCTATAATATCTCTGTGAATAACACCTGGTTCAAATCCATTGTATAATAGATTATATTTATCTTTTAAGAATGCCCTTTCCCTCTTTTTTTAAACTCTATCTTGCTGATGATTAAAGATCTTACACTTCTGTGTAAGAATGCTTCTGTGAAAAGATAATATTTCTGCTTTTAGTAACCAGGGTGATACACGTCTTGTTTGCATTGACTTTTAGTAACCAGGGTGTTACACGTCTTGTTTACATTGACTTTTAGTAACCATGGTGATACATGTCTTGTTTACATTGACTTTTAGTAACCAGGGTGATACACGTCTTGCTAACAATTTAGATCTTAATGATTCATTTTGGGTTTGGATAACCACTTATTGCAAGGTGCGGTATACCGTCCATAACAACTTAAAATGTCTTTGTAATAAATTCCTAAAATAAAAACCTTCTTTTTTCTAAGTCACTTTGTTCAATAGCTTCACATTTAGTTTAAAGGTGACCGCCTGTAACAGCTAAAGTTTATTTAGTTTTAATCAACATTATTAAAAAGAGGTTTCTATTAAATGTTGTTAAAAACAAAGAAGTGAAATTAGATGAAAATACAACAAAAGAAACACCATGCAGCAGTTATAGTGATAGTAATAATGAACTTTGCAGGATAGGAGAAAACATGATGTGTTTCCTCATATTTCCTGATATTTCCTCCCTAACTGAAATGCAGCTTTCTGTTTTATCTACTATGTTTCAGGTATAGTTATGGAAAGACATATAACGTTGTCCTCGGGGCCAACCAGGTGGTGCCGGGGATGGAGGACGGTCTGATAGACATGTGTGTGGGAGAGATAAGACGGCTGATTATCCCCCCTCACCTGGCCTATGGAGAGAGAGGAGTCAGTAAGTGTTGGATAACATCAGCAACATTTTCCTCCACCGTTCATCTGCACACATTGAATTATTTGAAGCATTTACATAAAAAAAATGACAACTTTTATTTACTCTGCTCTTCTTTTTGTATCTGACAAACATTTCTAGAATCTAAAAGTTATAAATTTTTAAGTTGCTTCATTTTTCTTTAAAAAAGAGAATATCAAATGTTAAACTGATATGGAGAAAAAATTAAAACCAGGCACCAATTCATTCTGTGTGCAATGAAAAAACGTATAATTTCTTGAGAACTTGTTACAATAGCAAATCTAACTTTAAAGTTACTATTACTCATTAAACCTGTGATTTAGGAATATGTCTTATTTAAATACTATTCAGGCTTAAATATAATTTATAAATATAATTAGATCAGATTAAAATTAGTTGAAGTGAAACTGATTTGGCTTTCGCCACATGAACACATGTAGATACATGCAGACAGCTTATTGTTTGTTCAAACGGGATAAAAAGGGACAACTTCGCTGTAGACAACTTCCCTGACCCCAGAATGCATTCAGCAACTCAATGGTTACTAAACTCAAAGTACTTAGACACTTTATAACAGTTCAGCCTCAAAATACTTTAAAAATCTTTTAAGACTCAGCTGATATGGTGTGTTGTCGTCAGTTCTGTGCTTAGCCCCTTTCCCCCTGCTTCTATGGATCTATGGCACAGCTTACCATTCTGGGCTCTTGGATCTCTGAACCTATCAGGTATTACCTCAGACAGGAAACCTGTGAAATCCATCTGGTTGGGCGAAAAGAATACTTTGACCTTCTAGCTGTCTTCTTCTCGAAGCCTCATCTTTTTCCAGTGAACGAGTCAGGTGTATTAGCAGCCAGGATACACCCCCTCCTGAGCGTCTCTCCGGGTCACTACAGCCTTCTGTTCTCATACAACCGCACTTGGAAGTTGGTCAATAAAATTTTAGAAACTGAAAAGTTACAAAGATGTTGTTTTATCAAACCTGAGCCAAATAAATCCTAGAGTGTGTCTGAATGTCTGCCCTTCTATATATCTACTCGTCTAGTGACCATGGATGATCACTACTGTGAAATTTAAAGTTCACTACTTTTTCATCCACTAGACGCTCTGACTCTGATTTAAAATGGTGTAATCACTTTATAGACCTCTACATAGTGATTAGGGCGGACATTTAGACACAGCCCCAATAAGACTCATTCTGTAACCCTGCATCCCTTTGGTTTACACCACTGAAGAACTCATTGTTGGGTTTAAATCCAGAGAAATGTGAGTTTAAAAACTGCTGGCTCACAACCAGCACCTTTTCTCACTGATCCCTTCACAGCAAAGCCTTTTATTAACAGTTTACAACTTAATAGGGCGAGTCTTAAACAGAAAACCCTGTAATGATTATCTGGCAGGATGCAGGTCATAAGACAGTGTGAAATGACCATCTGGCTGGATGGAAGTCACAACAGTGTGACTTCCTCATGACCTACTGGATGCAGGTCATAAAAGTTTATGACCCTCCTGATTGAATCACAGGACAGAAATGTAGCATCTTATGTCTTCAATGTTTCATATGCCCACACAATAATTTTATAATTATAACTCTAACACTCATGATAAAAGATGACTCAAAATTTCAATGTCCACTCGTCAAACTAGATATTTTTTTTTATTAATAAGTTGTTAGCCGGGGATAAACAGCATCAGCACTAAAAATCAATCAATAAAAAAACTAATCTTAACTAAGCTGGCTACTGCAGGATAGTGTTCAAAGTTTAGGCAGTGGAGGAGACAATTCGTATTCCAGATGTATGATGAGTGTCTCTGAGTCCTGAACAACAGGAAAATATTCTTCCCTTTTCTTGTTGAAGAGGGTTGATCAGCATAGGCCGGATCAACTCACAGTTCTCACATCATGTGAATATGATCTTAAATTCATAAATCCAACACCACCTGGAAGTTGTAATGGATTCCCTTAGTACAATCCGAATCCAACGGTCCAACCCAAAAGAAGATATCAGATTTATCCATGTAGATCGAATAATCCAATCAGAAATACAAATAGTAATCCAAGTAAAAATAAAAGAAGAATTATTCCCCATCTGCTGTTTGATCAGCTAGAAACACGAAGAATTATGTCTAGTTGTCTTATTCCTCTCAGCATTGGTTGGAAAATAGAAAAAGCAAGAAGGGAGGCAAACTGGCTCAAATTTTTAAACCCATCAGATTGGTGATATCCTTTCTTTTGCGCCAACGTTGAGTTATCAAATTACTGGTGCAAAGAAAGAGCAACCTAAATCAAAATTCTGCTTATTTTATATCCTTGAACTCCTGAGCAATGAAATGCCAGTGAAACCCACATGTCCCATGATGGCCACCCTTTTTGACAAAGGCCTCCTTTGTAACAGACAATTATTCAGCCAGCTTGCTAGCGGTCAAATCCTTTACTGCTTGCCATTCCAAAAAAAGTAAAAAAAAAAAACAAGCCACTGGACTTTGTTTCCAAGTTTGAAGATATTTCGCTTCCCATCCAGGAAGCTTTTTCAATTCAAAATGTCAGGAATAGCGTGGAGTTCGAGTTTTATACAGTAACCCATCAAAAACCTCGAACTCGACGCTATTTCTGTCATTTTGAATTGGAAATGCTTCCTGCTTGATAATAGTCATGAGACACTACAGCCCCCTCCTTCCTTTCGTCCCCATCTGTCAGCTTTCTTCTCCTTCCTATTCTTATCTCTTTGGTTTATTGTCTTCTTATAAGATTACAATACATGAATATAGGTTTAAACAAGACCTTTAAAAGTTTAAGTAGAAGATTAATGCCTTCGAAAGATTACAATTCTTGATTACACTTCAACATGTGTATTTTAGTTTTGCATTCATGGTTCATTTCTTATTCACAAACACCCTTTATGCTCACTATAGATCAACTTTTGACTCAACTTCAGATGGTTCAAATAATCACTTTCTCCATCTGAATAAAAAAAATCTAATATTGCCTTGATTATAGATGTTGACACAGCAGTCGGACTCACCACCACTTGTGGTCATTCAGGAGGTGGTAACCAGAAGCTCGGTCCACTCTTCTTGCTGGGAGATAGTAGGACAGACAGAGGCCTTGGCTGAATCAAAAAAAAAATCTTTTGGTCATGATTTGTTTGCATCCACTGCAGGTCCAGCAGGTTCTGTAACAGCTATTTACCCACTGCCATCTGACTGCTCAACTGTTGAAAAAAAGAAACTCTAAATGAAGTCACAAATTGAGACTCTGCATCACACTGATAACCTCATACCATATAGAATAGGGATGCACGATATAATCGGCCCCCTATCGGTATCGGCCTTAAAACTGAATATCGGACATCGGCCACCCCACCGATATTTAACCCGATATTTGATCAGCTTCTGAGTTTCTAAAGTCTAAAAAAAATAATAAAAATACTACTTCTTCTTCTTCCTCAAAAACTTCTTTTTTACAGACTTAAAAACTTCTAAAGATGAGGGAAAAATTATTGATACATTAAAATATCACAATATCTTCATATGCTGATATATTGCCATTTAAAAACACCATATCAATCTCTTACTAATGAAATATTGCTATATGTCATTGTTATGCTACGAAATCCCCCGAAAATTCACAAAATTTTGCCATATTTTCATATGTTGATATATTGACGCGGTATCGATCTATTTTACTAACAAAATCTCACAACAATGTGCAAAATATCACGAGAGTTTGTAACAGAACGATGAAATTTCACGAGATTTTGAAAGTAAAATAGATCTTTACCGCGTTTTTTAAAATGTATTTGATATCAGCATTTGAAAATATATTTGAGTTTATTATTTTTCAAAGTGTCAGAAATGGATAACAAAACTGATATTTTCAATGACTACTTATTTTTGTCCAGCTTTAACATCGGTATCGATATCGGTTATCGGCTACATGAGTTTTAAAATATCGGCATATCGGATATCGGCCAAAATCCCAATATCGTGCATCCCTAATATAGAACTGTTAGAATAATTGCATATAAATGTATCTGTGTATTGTTATAATACATAAAGATGTGTGCTATGTGCATGTGTTCATAGCCACCTTTTCTAAAGTATACTGTTATTTGTGGACTTGCTTTTGGGGGGGTTGTGGTTTACAAGCAGGATTAAACCTGCTGAACTTTGGTTGACAGCTTCAACAGCTTAAACTTTGACTGAACCCTGAGATTTAGAGGACATGTTTATTGAGACTGCAAGCCTGAATTCCTTATCTTGTTTGCTTTAGTGCAGTCTAAGCTGTTGTAACTAGAGAATCCCTGACTTCAATAAATTGCGAGCAGGACGTGTAGACCGCCAGAGTGGGGTGAAGACCTGTACTGTGCGGTCCCTTCCTATTCTCCTCGCGAGTAAAACTAAACTAATTGTCTCTGTTCCTTTTTCTTTCCCTGTATGGTGTTTTAGGTGCTTAGACCTGACAAGAACTCAACTCAAAAATGTTTTTCTACTGCCTTTTTTGCACCATATATATTTGTTTTGAATTTTCTACATCAATTTTACACCATGTTTTTTCCTCCCACACTGTTTATATTTGATCACTGTTGCACTTTATGAAATGGAAATGTTCCTTTTCAGTGCTAAGCTGCTTGGTATACACTCTGTGTATACAAAATGACAATATAGGTGTCCAAGTCTAAAGTCTGAGTTAAATCATCCACCTAAAATAAATCACCTTTACGTGAGGCCAGCTCCTCATAATGTGTTTTTTTTTTTTTTCTGTAGCCGACCAGGTCCCAGGAAGTGCAGTACTGCTGTTTGATGTTGAGCTGGTTGAGATAGAGGAGGGACTTCCTGAGGGCTACATGTTTATCTGGAACGAAGAGGTCCCCCCAGGCCTGTTTGCCAAGATGGACAGGGACAACAGTGGATCAGTGGAGCCCTCTGAGGTATGGGATATTACTAAGACTTTCATGGATTTATTTATCTTTTACATTCTCACATCAGTTAAGCTTTTGCTCTCCACCTCCTGCCTCTACAGTTTACCGACTACATCATGCAGCAAGTGAATGATGGTAAAGGACGCCTGGCTCCCGGCTTCGATCCCTACCGTATTATAGACAACATGTTCTCTAACCAAGACCGCAACGGAGACGGAAAGATCACAGAAGAGGAGTTCAAACTCAAAGCAGATGAAACTAACCATGACGAGCTATGATGGGACAGAGTGGATAGTAGATCTGGGTGTTGGGAAAGGGGTCTGGAAATTGGGAAATGGTGGGAACTTCTGTTGGTGGGTTGTTTGGTAGTGGGGGGATAAAAAAAACATTGAATAGGAACTCTATTCAGATTTAGATTTTTTTTTATTTGAGGACTGAAATAATATTGAACTATGGTTATTCTCACATGAGAATGGAAAACAAGGATTTAGTTGTTTTTTTTTTTTTTTTAAAGATAAAGACAAATATTTTAAAGTTTTGATTTAAGGACTGAACCTGTTTGTTTACCTCCTTAATTGTCAGACATTCTAAATTTTGTCTTTTATTTTTAAAAGGTTTATTATTATTATTATCTGAACATTCAGCACTCCTTACATTTTTACACTTTGTTTTTACATGAGGGAAACTGTTATTCTCCGTTTGTCATGCTTCTTGCAGAAGCAATGCTTTGGTGTGACTCTCCAGAGTTGGATTTAATATGTTCTTTTCTGTGGTTTATAATGAACATTTCCTATAGTTTTCTGTTTGTGTTTTCTGCTGTTAAAAATCCTCCTTCAGTTATACTTGATCTTTTTGATCAATGGTTGTGTCTGTTTTTCACCCTTTAACCTTTTGAGTTTAGGTTTTATTGTGTGTATCTGCGAGGGTGTGTGTGTCTGTTTGAGAATAATGTGTAACAGTATGGGGGGGTGTCTGTTTTATTTTGAAAAAGAATGTGGCTTGATGACAAATGCGTGAGCTTGGTTCAATAAATGGTCTGACTTTAACATCTACATTCTCATGTTTTGTTTAATCAGGTTGTATTCTGCTTATAGTGTACAGAACTGTATAAAGCTGGTTAGTATTTTTTTATTTTACTGTTTCACTGCAAATATTCCTCTGTGGAATCCTCCTACGGCCAGGAGGATACTTCCTCCTGGCCTCACCTTATGCTCCTCCAGTATCTAGGCAACATCTGTTATTTGGGGGGAAGGGGGATCCTTTTGCAAATTTACGGCCATCAGATTCTTTTCAAGAGAAACAACATGTAGCCCCTGGTCATTTGCCTTCTGAGATCTTACAGTTGTTCATGTCAGTTACTGGGTTATTTACCCGAAAAAGACTTTTAGAGAAGCTGCTGACTTCTCTTAAGCTTGTTTTCCTTGAGAACATGTGGGTGCCTGGAGGCATTTACTTTAACTTCATCAATAAAAAGCATATAATGTAATATTTGGGTCTTTTTATCCCCAGGGTGAGAATACTTATTCTGTGTTTTAAGTCATTTCTGCATTGCATGTTTTTGGTAAAAGTTTAGAAGAATGTAAATCAAAAGCACTGCCCCCATGGAGTGTGGAGTTAGCACAGCTTCAGAGGACCAAATGGTGGAATGTGTCTCCCTTATATTTTCCTACACCAACAAGTTTTTTTTTCCTCACCATTCACTTCAGTAATAGTTTAGAGCTGGCCAATCAGATTAGGGGCCTGGGCAATGGGGTGACAATGTTAAGCCTTTATTGTTGTGAGAAGTCAGATAGGGAAGAAATAGAACAAAGAGTGTGAGTCCTAGAAGTACATACTGAAGGTCACATATGAATCTTGGTGAAAACAAGGTTGAAAATATCTGATATCTGTGGTGAGCTACTTTTTTGGCATAAACGGAGAACATTTGTATAAACATTTTTGTTCCAGTGTCAGCGCAACCTCTTTGACCAGCACACTTGCTTTCCAGTAAGATTTCGACACAACATTCCATGATGCACGTGCATCTACATAGTGCAATATTGAGACTATAAAACAGCCTGAAATGGACTGAGAATTGTGTGTGTGTGTGGGTGGAGGGGGGGGGGGGGGGTGAGATGTCTGATGATGTAGTGCTGAACTTATGAAGTGTTTAATACAGCTGTAGGAATTTCGAATTGTCAATACATGTTTCCCCAGTGCAGAGGACAAAATGGAGTGCTAGTTACTCTACCAGTCTTCTTTTATAAGAAAAAAATAGTCCGACAACCATAACGCAGCCGTACAATGGCAGAGTGCATCATATCCGAACTATTATGTTACCATGTTTCTTTGACACTTAGTACGTCTTCAGACTTACAGAGAGATAAGGCAGATTTCTACATTTACACCCACCTTAATGGTGTTGTCATCTAATATTGCAAAACTGATGAATAAGGGAGAGAGTGATTGTCAGGTATGCTATTACAGTACACCATCCCCTCAAAGTTCATCCTTTCGAATATTGCTGAATTTGCTTCCTCATTATTTAGTAACTCATCATCAGCCATCAGACCTCCTATCAATGGATAATGTTGTCATATCATGCACATCATAATATTTCAAACAAGAGCAGAAAAGGTTTACTATTACTTCATCCATACTAGAGCTGAAACAATTTATCGGATAAATAGTGATTAATCAAGTATTGAAATCATTGTCAACTAATTTAGAGATGGAATAATCGTTAACTGGAGTATAAAGACTCTAAAAGATGCCTTTAGCTGTCAGAGCAATCCACTCAGAGCAGTATTTTTACCAAAATTTTAAAATAATATATATATTTTGAATTTAAGAAAATATGTCAATATGCTCTTTCCAGAACTCCTCAAGTAAAAAAGTTTTAGTTTCACCCGGTTTAATTTCGTAAAAAGTCTTCTTTAAGGAACCTTTTGGCTATCCGATTATTAATTGCTTAATCGAAAAGATAATTAACAGATTAATTGTTCTGCCAAACGATCATTAGTCGGAGCCCTAATTCATGCTTGCTATTTTTTAAAGAGAAATGTGAGCTCTGCAAAGGAACCATGAACAAGGCTAAATGAACAAGACATGGTTGGAGGCACAGATGCTTCTCACTGTTGGCTGAACTACAATAGCTGATTCATTAGATGGTCCTTGAAATTCACCATGGTGCTGCAGATGCTCACTTTCATCTATGACTGAATGGGGTTCACTGGACCATTTTTCAAGTTGTCTAGTTTCTGCCAGACTATGGTTTATCTCTGCGACATATGTGTCATTTTGGGAATCCATAACGGATGTTGTTGCCTCAGTTCTCAGTTTTGTTTTGTGTTTTCTCAGCAGTTATACACAAAGATTTATCTACTGTTGATGTTTTAACACCTGTAGCAGTTTGGGTGTTTTCTGTTTTCTGGGTTGATTTTACTTGGGTGGCTGCAGTTTCACTATGAAATGTGATAGGCTGTATCTCAAAAACACAGTTTGACTCAATGGCAAAGTTCCTGTACACAGATTTAATCCGTTCAATCATGTCATCAAGATGTTTGAATTTCCGCATGGCTGCTTTTCCACCTCTTCCACCAGGAAGCAATGACATGCCTGTAGACCTACGAGGGTGAGGATCAAAATATGCAACTTCACCAGAACTCAGCCTGCAAACTGAAATCCCTAATAATGCAGTGACTAGCAAAGCATACTGGACCTCTGATGCCAAGATCTGCAGTCCCTGTTCAAGGCTTTGTACTTTATCTCTGGGGTTACCGTCAAATATTCCATAAGTAGGATACCGAGACATGTCAACACTGTACTGATGATTGCGGCTTCTAACCACAGAAGGAAGCTGACGGCAGAATAGGAATTCATTGTTCGGCTCAATATGTCTAATTGCCGAGAAAATGGCGTTACCCATGTCCAACACACGGTAAAGGTAATCTCGAGTAATAAACTCATCTTCATGGAAAAATTATAGGAAAACCAAACTATTAGCCATACATTGCCTATCCCTGTAATTCCCATACTTAGTAGAAGCCCGACTTCTGGATGCACAGATTCTTGTCACTGGTGGCTGGGCTTCATGTGGAATGGCTGGTTCACAAGATGGTCCTGGAGCTTCTCCATGATGCTGCCTATGCTCACAGTTAACTACAGTTACCACAGGTTCACTCTGCATTACCTGCTGTACATTGAACTCTCCAACAGTCGTTTGTTGGCCCATTTTTTCCTCAGAAGACAACAGACCTGTGCAGTGATCAGGAGATTCGGTGGTTCATGTCCAACCATGAACCACCGATTACACAACGTTCCTAAAATGATGGGTAATTACACTTATACAGGCCTTATAGATTAACTGCATGATCATACTGGGCAGCCTCAAGCAAAAATTATAAACTCAAAAATAAATCACATATAAATAAATCATATATAAATAAATCATATTTTATTTTTGTTGTGGAATTTTCAAACAGGTGATTTTTGTAACTAGGATCATATAATCTTTACGTTTACATCCTATCACCATAATAACAGCTTATTTTAAATAAACAAAAAGAAAAACAGCTGTATCCATGAATAGAAAATAGGATTGTGAAAATATATTCCTGTTATGTTTCACTATAACTTTATTAAAGGACACATTATTTTTATGCTGGCCCCGAGAGCTTATTTTTCATTCATCTATAGGTGTTATGACTAAACATGTATTTTTGGTGTGGCTGCTTCAAGCTGCTCATGAGAATGATCCAGATTTATAGGTGTGTCTTAATTGTTGCAATTTACTCTGAATATAAAAATGTAACGTAACTTTTTTAAACAGAAAAACATATTTTAATACAGGTGTGTGTGTGTTTCTATGTGTATATAGATATATAGTTTGTTTTTTAGTTATTTACTTTGTGCTGGGTAACCAAAAAAGTAAACAAGAGACGGCTGCTAACGGTGCAAAGTGCGCATGCGCGGCTTCGAAGCTTGGCGGTGCCATGGCAACCTGAGCCTGGTGGACGCTGTTATCTAGCTACACTTCAGACATTTAACATGGTAAGTCCGTGGATGTCTCGATTTACTTTTAGGAAAAATTGCACGCTTACTGTTGCTTTGTGAAACATCCGCCACCAGAGACTTGAAAGGGACTTAGCAACTAAATGTGAGCTAATTTTAATGTAGAAAAGTGAAAAGCTTTTGTGGAGGCCTGTGTGCTTAGTTGTTAACTAAACTCCATAAACTGATGTATTTCTTTTTTGTGCTTTTTGTGTTTCATGTTTTATGTTATTTGTTTGTTTTTGATGTTTGTTTTTTTTTAAACCTGGGAGTAAATGTGTGTTCATATCATGTTGTTAGCATCCTGTTACTTTGTGACCACAGACAAATCCCAGCGATAATAATCAAATGTAAGCTATGATTAATGATATAAGATTTCCTATAATGTGTCCAGGCAACTACTGGAGAAGCTATAAAGAAATGGGTAAGTGGATGATGTTACTTAACAAGAGAAAAACAGTGAAATATTTATAAGTAGGGGCTTGTTTTATAAAGAATTCAATGTGGTAATTTCTTCTTTTTTTTTTTGCATGCAGGAAGCGAAGGACACGGATAACAAAGCGGATGTGTCTAAAGAAGTTCTAATGTATGGTCAAATCCCTCCTATAGAGAAAATGGAAACTTCTCTCTCTGTGCTGACCTGCTGCGAGTAAGTCCTGTTTTTAACCAGGATGAAGGTTTACCAGGGTTTTAAGGGTTATCATTTTAAAACCACAAAACTGTATTTTTTTTAGCAACTTTCCTACGGTTAATCTACTTGAAATGGGTTTCCAGACAATCCTCTTGAGGGACCAGATTTTTCACTAGCTGTGGGACATTTAAGGATTCTGTGCACCTCTCTGCCTTCCTAACTCTCAGCTAGCTGAAAGAAGGGTGTAGCAATAGAAACTTAGTAGGGTTACTCTAGTTGAAAGCCTTGAGTTTGGAAGCTCTGGGCCTCATGTCTCACAAACAGATATGTTATTGTTCTGAATCTTCACTCCGTGTAAATTTGTGATAAAATGAAAAGATTTTCACCCAAGGTTGTCATGAAACTTTGAATCACATATCCATCATTGCATATCCAGGCTGCATCCATGGCTTAGATGTTGTTGTTTTTTTTTTTTCTCAGAGGGACTTCTTCTTTCATGGAGTCAGTTCTTGTTAATAATATACATTTGCTTTCAGACAGCACCTTAATATGATCATCTTATACAATGGAACATTATAATTGTTTATCCCCAAAAGTTACATTGTCAGTATAATTAAAGTGAGGGTTTTTAATTACTTATTATTGACTTTTAAACAGTAATAAAATCAAATTTAATCAGACGTTAAGGTCATCTTTCAGATATCTCAAATGTTTTCATTCCACCTCCTTCCCAGGAAGCTGTCCTTGTCTTCCAACTGCATTGAGAATATAACCAATCTGGACAGCTTCAGTGAGTATTAACAGATTTCCCCTCTACCCGAGGTCCTGTTCTGCTGTACCTAATATCGATTTAATTCAACATGTCTCCTCTTAGAAAACCTGAAGATACTTTCATTAGGCAGAAATAATATCAAGTCTCTTGTAGGGGTGGTAAGTTAGATATAATCTTACATTTTAAGTTTGTGTTCCTTCTTTTTCTCTAAACAGAATATTTTCTATATCTCCTTCTTGTCTCAGTTTGTTGCTTGTGTTTTTGCAGGAGGCAGTCCGAGACACTTTGGAGGAGTTGTGGATTTCATATAATTTAATAGAAAAACTGACAGGTGTCAACACCTTGCAGAAACTTAAAGTCCTCTCTATTCGCCACAACCTTGTCAAAGATTGGGGTAAGCTACCCTCCTTTACAAAGTCAACAGATTAGATTTAGAATAGAAATTGTTTTACTTTTTGCAGCTCCTTTTTTGGTCTTTTTTATTTTTTGGTAAGTGATATACCATCATAATTTTTGTTATTAACATCATAATGTTTTTGGTTTTATCTAAATCAAGGATTCCCAAACAATTCAGCTAAACTACTAAAAACACATATAATTACTGCACTCTATGATAATTTATACCGTATTTTCACGACTATAAGGCACATATAAACGTCTTTTTTTCCCTCAAAATGTGTGGCGCGCCCTATAGTGCGGTTCGCCCTATGTGTGTTGTTAGTGCGACGTTTTTGAGACCACCATGAGGAACGTTAAAGGGGGAAGTGTGGGCGTGGATTGAAAATGGCAAAGAGACACGCCTATGAAGCACAGTTTAAACTGAAGGCTATCAGCTACTGTCGTGGATGTCCTCAGTACGACGTATGAATTTATGCTAGGTCTTACCAAAAATTCTAAGTTCTTAAAAAGCAGTTGAAAAATCTTCAAACAATGGTCAAAAACAAGCTGAGGCAGCTGGGTCTCGGTCCAGAATGGCTTATTGCAACAACACAAGTCTACCACACATGAGATGTTCACCGGTCAACATCTGAATGATACACAGAAACAGGCCTGCTTATATTAATTCCCTGGGGCTTTGGGGCTCCTCCCCGAGCCCCTCCTATTTTTACGTAATTTCAGGTACTTTTCCACGGATATCTTTATTATCTACCTACCGGTGGAAAACCACCCAGAGTACACATTTTTATATATTTTATTAAAAACCTTGCCCATTTCCGGACCTGCGGGCCATGGTGATAAACATTGTGTTTCCATTGACACATCAGCATAGCTTGTTGTTTAACATTGACACGTCAGTACAACTCAACCTTGGGTTTCTCCATTGCCACATTTTGTTTGTATTAACCCTCCTAATCTTATCTCAACCTCCGGACTGCCACACAAACATTATTTTACTTAGATATTATGTTGAAGCACACCATTTAACCATTGTGACAAGAATATATTTATTGTGAGACATTAATCCACTATATTCTATTCATGGTGCAATATTAATTCACTTCACTACGCAGAGGAACATGGAAATCGAGCACCCGCGAGAGAATTCAAGATTAATGAATCGATATTTTCTTAAAAGTGGAGGAAGATGGAAAACGGACTCCGACAGGTGAAGAAGGCGCAGTTGAGTTTCTGCGGACATAAGGCGTGGTGGCCCGAGTTGGAGGAAAGACTTGCATCACCATCGCTGTTAATCTGTGACTCCATGCGTGCCCATCTCACAGCCGATGTGAAAAACACGGTGAAACAAATTAACGCTGTGCTTGTCTGACAAAGGAACTTCAACCGCTCGACATCGGTGTGAACCGGCTGTTCAAAGTAAGGCTGCGAGCGGCGTGGGAGCGATGGATGACCGGGAGACCACAGTTTCAGGAAAAGCGGAAGGCAGCGCCGGGCAAGTTACGCCACAGTTTGCGGATGGATTGTAGATGCTTGGGCTAACGTGTCCGCTGGCACTGTTGTTTGAGCTTTTGCAAAAGCCGGCATCATTTCTGAGGAGCCGCCCGGCACGGAAAGTGACTCTGACAGTGAAGAAGGGGAAATTGGCATGTCTGATTTAGCGCAGCTGTTTAATTCAGAAACAGAGGATGATGACTTTGATGGGTTTGGTTAATACTTTGTAATAAATACTTGAATAAAGCACAAACATACTCAGTTTTGCTCCCACTCTATCTTTAAAATACGCAGTAGAGGTATTTAAACGTAGTAGAGGATATCTACCGGTATATAAAACCAGCGTCCTATAATCCGGTGCGCCTTATCTGTGTGTTAAATACAGTAATGGCACACATAACTGAGACTGCGCCTTTTAGTACAGTGCGCCTTATGGTCGTGAAAATACGGTACATATTAATTATTCATATCGTTTTTTTTTTCTTTTTATAAATATATTTTTATCATATCTTGTTATGTAATCCATCATTTGAAATATGTTTTTAATTATTTCATTGTGTATTAAATTTTTTAATTATGTATTTGAAAATTTAATACTGAATTATATATTGGATAAGTAAATGAATTAATATTGAACCTCTTAATGTCATGGTACATTTATCGATTTCATAATACACCCATATTTAAGTATTTTGATATATTTTGCCCCTAGTCCTCATTTTGGGAACCCCTGCTCTAAATACCCAATATGGATTAAAGTGTTTGTATGTTCTGCAGCCGAGTTTGGGAGGCTCGCTGACCTGCCCGTCTTGGAGAACCTGGTTTTTAAAGGAAATCCACTGGAGGAAAAGTATTCCATCGAGGGAAATTGGATTGAAGAAGCCTCTAAAAGACTTCCTAAACTACAGAAACTGGATGGTAAGAGTACTGTGTACAAAAGTGGTTCTAAAAACTCTAACGCTACGTTCACACTGCAAGCAGCAGGAGCAGCAAAAAAATTTATTAATTTTTGATGCTTGTACAAGTTTAGTTCTGACGTGCGGCTGAAACCTCTCTGCTGCTCCAGCTGTGCGCAAAGTGGGTCTGATGCGCATTGGGCGGAGCTACCATATGCTTTCTAGCAGCTATATTTGTTGTGATCAGTGGGTAAAAATTAGTCTTAATATGTTTTTAATTGAGAAAATCTGCCCGAAAACTTCATCTGTGCAGTCAGTTCATCAAATTAAGATCCTGCCATCGGCGTCGCCAGACCCCATTTACTGGGGAACGTGCCCCAGTATAAATGAACTGTGCCCCAGTATAAATCTCATGAATATTTGCAACAGTAATACATTTTTTAATGCATCAATTAAGATGATTCCAACGGGAGGAGACGTATATTTCTACTCCAAATTGAGGATGTAATAGCGCCCCCACGTCAGCGCATGTCACTGCATGAACTGCAGGTAAACTAATGCACTGCTCTCAATTGAGTTGGATGGGACACTGTGCGGCCGTGGCGCATTTTTAGTTCTGGTAACGTTTCTTACCTGTCAATTTTATTATTTTCCCAGTGAAACCACATGATTTATAGGCTACTAACTGAAAATGACTGCATTGGTTTGTAGATGGATATCAGGAAATTCCTCACACGAAGCAGAGACAGGGAAGCAGTAAAACAAGATGAGAGAGAGGGAGGTAAGGTCCCGTGATGAATTAGTGATTTAAAGGAATAGTACATCCAAAACATGATTAGCCTTCATTTTCTACTCACCCCCATGCTGAACAACACTCTGGAGTACTTTTTTGATATCTCAAATGCATCTGGAGATCTGGGAGGCTTCTTGCTGCCTGCTGACATTCAAATAATGGAGGTCTATGGTGCCCGAGGCAGAAAGGTCCATAAAAGTCCACAAAAAACGTGTCAATATTCCTCCATACTGCTCGTCCAATGTATTCCAAGTGTCCTGAGTGGGTAGCGTCCATAATTTACTCGAAACAAAGTCATTTAGAATGTTTTTAGAGCATAAACAGTAGTGTATAGGATTTCCTAAAAGCGCGTTCACGAGTCTACGGAAACCGCGGCAGACCAAACCAGACGAAAGTGCGCATTCAGCTCGGCAAAGAACTCATGCTCTTCCTCAACACTGAAGTCCTCAGACATTTTTCTTTCGTTGTTTCTTTCTTTGCACAGGTAAACAGCACATTTCTTCTTCTACGCTTGCATTATCGGCAGAGCAGACGCTGAATGTGCAAACTTAGTTCAGGTTGAGTTAAACTTTCTCCTGAACTAAAACTCGGAAACCTAGGAATTAATGATTACCTCAGAATGTGTATAAGGACACTTTTTATTTGTCAAAGTTGTTGATGTCTTATTTTTTATAGCTGCAATGTTGAAAATGTTCATGTTTGTTAAAACAAATATGCTCTTAAACTCATTAATATCTCAACTGGAAATTTTGGTAGGAATATATCAGGGTGGGGCAGTGTGCTTGTCTGTATTTGTGTATGGAAGGAGGGGCATATGTGGTAGGGGGCCAGTGCCCCAGTAAAGCTTTGTGCCTAGCAACGCCCCTGGATCCTGCCTTCAAATATTATTTCGCTCTCAGAGCCAAACAGACCCCCGTCCATTGGCAGAGCTCTGTCTACAGGAACCCCGTTCAACAGCAGCCTCTGGCCCGGTCACGTCTTTGTGGGGTTCCGCTAGTATTCACAGCGGCTGAAAGGTGTTTTTCCTGTACGACAAAAGCGAACATAATTTGCCGGCAGATTTATACATTTTCAGTTAATTTATGCATTAAACTGTTTCAGGGGAGTGATCATAGTGATATGCATCAGCAGTGCTGTGTCTGTTTCCCTGGCAGCTCCCATCAGCTTCTCTGATGAGTTGATGTGGCGCATCAAGCAGCAAAAGTTAAATTTTTCCAACTCCAGCACCTGCTGCTTCCGAAGCGCCTTGCATGTGTCAGATGCTCCGAAATCCATGACAAGCTGCTGCAGCTGCTCAGACGCGCTGCTCCTGCTTCTCAAAATGGGACCTTTTGCTGTGCCAAGATGCAAGTCAACCATTGACTTTGCATGTAAACTAGCTAGCTAGCTCTGCTGCTTGCAGTGTGAACATAGCATTAGAAATGACTCATAGGACAGCAGTGGTAATTGCTTTTATCTTGACGTTGTCAGTTGTCAACATAAATCCATCCATCCATCCATTTACTGACATGCTTATCCCTGCTGGGGTCGTGAGGGGTGATGGTGCCCATCCCCAGTTGTCAATGGGCAAGAGGCGGGGTACACCCCGGAAAGGTCGGCGGTCTATCACAGGGCACAGAGACACACAGAACTAACAATTATTCACGCACACTTACACCTAAGTGTAAGTGTGCGTGAAGTGCGCGCACAATCAGGCTGAAAGTCAGGCCGATCAAAAACTTCTCACAAGACTGGAAAGTCGGCCCGACCTTTTTTTTCCACAGTGTCCTGTCTGGCAATGTGGCAATTAGAATAATTGTCTTGATGCCAAAAAGAGCCCAACAGATTTTACTTTCACAACTGGAGCAGTAGGGCTATTGCCATAGTGTTCTGCTTGTTTTATACATATAAATTGCTTTATTTTAATTATGCAGGGAGTTTTACAGATTATATGGACACTGCAATGTAAGTAGAACAGGAAAGGAAAAACAGAAAAAAAGGAGAAAAGATGAAAGAAAGAGGAGATAAAAGGGAGATAATGTTAAAACATTTTCAGTCTGCCTCATCACCTGTAAAGAGATATAAAAAGAACAGCACAACCAACGGACATGGTACAAGATATACAATAAAGTACCACCTAGATACTATCGCTGAAGTATAAGTAGTATTATTTAATCTGACATGTACTCTGTGTTACCTGAAGATAAGAATATGGGCTTTCTGTATGAAAGTACCTGGTTCCAAGCACCTGTAGTTGTTTGTGAAAGTGCGCTTGTGCATGTAAAGTTTATCCATAGGGAAAATGCTCAATAGTGGTTTAGGAGAGCCCCCCCCCCCCACCAGCAGACCCAAAGCCCCAGATGCCCAAAGGGACCCCAAGAGCGAAGGCACCAAGGCGCCAACCCAGGAAATCCGACCCCCACCAAGGGAGGAGGTGGGGGTCGGATTTCCTGGCAGTATGCAAGATTAAGAGCAGAGAGTTAAATTAAGAGACTGTGGTCATGTTTCCATTTAACAGAGATGCAAATTTGCACTTTGTTCACATATCAAGTTTATACTGTCTGATTTACAAGTGTGCACTTTGTGTTTGATGTGACAGGAAAAAATAAAATACATGAGTATTTTGAAACACAGTTGAACCTCTTTCATTAATGTAAAAACAGATGGAATCGAAATTAATCGATTTAGAACTGTATGAATCAAAATCGAATCGATTCAGGACTTAGGCGAAAATACCCAGCCCTATTACTTATAATATATTCTTATGGTGGATTGAACCAGACAGTTTTCACTTTGCACCCGCTTTGTGTACCTCTGTCTGAACCTTAACCATCATATGACTATTATTATAATTTTTGCATGATGAAACTCAAGGAAATTCTTGGTTTAAATTGTGGCCTTGAAATATATTCAAAGGTGTGGACATCACCATATGAACTTAAACATGTAGTTTTAACTGGAGCTAACTGATGATCCTTGCTTTTTTCCAGGTACTCTCCTCGTTGAGTTTCAGAGGAGGAATGAGGCGTAAAGAATTAATGAAGAGACGTCCAAAATAAAATGTGAAAAAAATTGTTTCCAAAAAGTACCTACAGTCAAAAGAAGGGGGGATTATTAATTGAGAATTAAGTTCTAAGATGTAAGATATTTCTCTTTTTAAAACAACCATCTCTTCTTATTAGAGGAACAAACAAAACTAGGTCACTTCTGGGGACACATTTAGAGCTGGAAATAGCAGTAAGGACATGACCAAATTAATAAACAGCCTCGTTTTGCTGTGTGAAACCTTTCTTTTTGTTTTTTTAGATGGAATATTTTTATTTTCATGTAGAAGTTTCCTTGTAATGGTTACAGATGAGTTAATGAATATAACATATATTTTAACACTGATCGTAGGGTAGGGTACATGTTTAACATTTTAAAAAGTCTGGCATTTTAAGCCATATCTTGTTGATACAACACACTGTCATCTTAAATAAAGCTATACTGTTTGCTGTACTAAACTAAGCTTTGTGAATCTCTTTACGCTATAGTAATGTAATTTTATATATAGCGATGTTCCAGGCATAATTTTTCATAGCACATGTATATAACAAGCAAAGTATGCAAGATTAAGAGCAGAGAGTTAAATTAAGAGACTGTGGTCATGTTTCCATTTAACAGAGATGCAATTTTTAGTAGAACTTTTAAAAGTTAAAAAAACAAACAATGAAATTCAATTCAAATTAACAGTGTGTCCACTTGGTATGAAGCAAATTAGCCAAGTGATGCAAAGCATAATGTCATTGCACATCATCATCCATATTAGGTCGTCACGCATGGTAAAACAAACAGGAAGAATAGGCTGTAATCTAGCACAGAACACAAAGCAGTATTAGTTAAAAGTCTTTTGAATGTGTTGCTATTGGGAAATTTGTTCTAACGTTAACATTTCAGCTAGTAAAGGCAATGTTTTTTTTCAGCCATGTTTAACACACATAATAGGCACATGCGGGAAGATGACGACAGCGGAAACAGCTAATCAGTCATGTGAGATAAAAGTTTGCTACGGTAGAGCTGATCTATAAAAAAATTATTTCCATCTCCCGTTTAGTGCATTATCCCTTTTTCGCAAAAGCAAAAAAGCACCTGATGATAGCTTGCTGAAAACACAGAAGAGCTCGGCAATTGCAACCGTGAAACTTTTGTTATTGTACTCTTCAGCTAAATAAAAAAGATGCAGAACACAGCTATGCTACACCTATTGACAGTAGTTTAGTTGTAAATAAAAAAAGAAAGGGGATGGTGGATTTTTTTTAAGCATACATAGCCTAATTAATATAGTCTAATAACCTAAAGCAATATGCATTGTATGGTTGTTACATGTCAGCGACGCCGGTCATTAATGTAGGTCCGTAAAAGAGGAACTGAGTCCACACAGAAAAGTGATTTTTAGCAGCTTCTGCAGAAGGAGAGAGCTACACCCAACTCTCTAACGGACTTCCTCTGCAGAGCCTTTTTATTAGCAGTTCATAACCAGTGTTGGGTAAGTTACTTTAAAAATGTAATCCGTTACAGTTACAAGTTACCTTGTTTAAAATGTAATTGTAGTGTAACTTTTTCGATTACTTTTAAAAAGTAATGTAACTAATTACTTTTTATTACTTTTTGATTACTTTAAGGATTTAATGAGTATTGACCCATGTTCAACATTTAATTTTTGAGAACTGAATGTGAACCTTAAAAAAGCACTAAGCTGAGAGGGAACTGCTGACAGGCAATCACAGGATGTCCACAAGAAGAGATGCCAGCACCAGGTGTGTAAGATTTTCTCAGACTCCTCTCATCGGGCCATACTCTTTTCTGTTCCTACCCCAGGCTCTACCATTTACGCAGTTTGCAGACTAACACAAGCAGGTTCAGGTTGATAGCCGGCAAACACTTCTTGCACTGCACTGTTAAATTTGAGCCATTTTCACAGATGTAAATGAAATGCTCCTTGAATGTCCAGTGCTGGAAGGCTGTCATTTTTGATGCGCTGCTTGAGCTGGAATAGAACCATCCGCTCGCTTGCTGTTCCTCAAGGAGGCTCCACCAGCACAGGATGGATCATCAGAGTGGCAAATATGATAGAGACAAGGAGCCGTAGCGAGAAACGTCGATACAGGGCGCGAAGCAATAAAATATCATTACAGTAAACCCTCGTTTATCGCAGGGGTTATGTTCCTAAAAGAACCCGCGATAGGTGAAATCCGTGAAGTAGAACCCTTTTTTAAAGTTATTATACAATGAAATACTCCATACAACATTAAAATCAATGAACAAAAACTTTTTACGGACCCAAGCATTTGTTAAACAAATAAAAGTAGCCTACGGTATAGACGTTGTTATTGCCTGTTTTTCTTTTTTTTTTTTTTTTTTACAAATAACTACTGTACTGTACTGTAAAATAATATAGATATCAATAAATAAGTAATAATTTTAATCATCAATACGAACTGAAGAGTTAATATTGCGGGGATCAGCACCGCCCCGCCGTGACGGATTGGAACGGGAAAAAATGAAAAATGATAATGAAAAAAAAATACACAGTACAGTAGGACAAATAGTGACTGACGTGTACAGTACAGTGTTTCACTGCTGTTTGACGGAGCCGCTGCATCCTGACTCTGCTCTGTGACGTTTTTTTCTTCTAAAGCCTGAAGTGCAGGTGTGTTTTTTGGAGAGAAGAACATAGTTATCGGTAGTTGCTGTCAATCTTTTTTCTTCTGGGCCAAAAGATCCTTATAGACCGACATGCCATCATTGATTATGTTCGACAGTTTAACAATGCATGATGCAAATCCGTGAAGCAGCGAGACCCTGAAAAGTGAACCTCGTTATAGCCAGGGTTCACTGTACATATTTCGCAAAGGTTTTTCTTTATATTTTTTAAAAAATGGAACTAAATTTGTAATTCTTAATATTTTCGGAAGTAACTGTAACTGAATTATATATTCGAGGTCTCCCTCGAAAAAGAGATTCTGTGTACTCCGACGTCGAGAATCAAGAATCCACCTTTCGTATTCCATTTTCAGAGTTTTTTAAAGTGTTTAACAGAGACGTTAGCACCTCGACGTCGGAGTACACAGAGTGAAGCGAAAAGACTACAACTGTGTAAACAGGCCCCATTTCCGTTTCCGGTGGCAGGGGAATATTGACTATTCCAACAGAACTCAATGGGATTTACAAAATGCTAAATAAAACACTACAGGAACGTTTTTTCTTTACGAAACTTTTTTTGGAACGTCATTGCTGACGACCCGGTGAGTAGCATATTTAAAAAAAAGAACGTTTAAGGTTGTTTTAAGGACATTATCGGACATGCACTATGAAAGCCATTCTGAAGCAGCCAGGGAGGATTCTGCATGAGCCAAAAAGCAGAGACAGGACCAATTGTCAAAATTTTGGTGTCGACCATTCGATTTCATCCTGGACACTACAGAAAATGGGCTAAAAGTGTTAAAAACCGGAATTCTCCTTTAACTTAGCCTTATCTTCACAGCTGCACTCAGAGCTTTTTCCCAACTTAGCCTTATCTTCCAAGCTGCACTCAGAGCAGCTCAATATCTTTCCATGCTGAAGCACAAACTTTTAGGTCATTCTATCATAACTGTTTTTAAAGTAAAACATTTATTCAATATACAAAACATGTATATATTTTAATCATTGGTGCAAACTAATTTACTACACATCCATCCATCCATCCATCCAGCCAAGAGGCGGGGTACACCCTGGACAGGTCGCCAGTCCATAGCAGGGCAACACTGAGACACACAGGACCAAGGGTGTAACTTTGTGTTGAAAGTTGGTGGGGACGGCTCATAAGGAAAGGGAGCTACCTGCGCGACGCCTTTTTTTTTTGTTGGAAAGGATAAAGCCAAAAAAATGCGAATAACATTTATCAATTTAATGCTTACAGTTGAAAACATAACTGTTACAATATTCACTTATATATTTTGTGCAAAAAATATCACATAAATCTAAACAGACAGTACAAATCAAAGAAATCAAACAAATATATCAATTTTGTAGAACATTTATTGACAGTCAATTTTGGGTCACTTTTTAAAATTAATTTAGTTTTAAACCAGGACTCGGACAAGATCTTATGGGGCCTTAAGCAGAATATGATTAAGCAACTCCGTCTTTCTGTCAAAAACATCCACCAGCAGAGTATCCAGGGGGGGATTTACCATTAGGCAATACTAGGCAGTTGCCTAGGGCCCCAAGTTCCTGGGGGCCCCATAAAACTCTGTTTCCATGTATGGTTAATACAACTAATCCTTATTTGTGCACATTAATTATGTTTTTGATAAAAATCCTTTGGCTAAAATGCCATCAGAACGCTGATAAATAGAGAGGAAAAAGGGACAAGAAGAGAGGGACAAAACCTAGAACAAATAATGGATGTCTATTCTATTAACATTTCTCTATCTGTAGAATGGGTCTGTTTTATGGGTTTTCTTCTCAGGGGGCCCCCTGCCTGTCTTTGCCTAGGGCCCCAAATTTCCTAAATCCGCCCCTGAGGGTATCAATACTGATTTGATAGAATCTGGGAGAGCGGACTATGTTCAACCATCCATTTTCTTTAACCTTATCCCTCAGTGGGATCAGGAGGTGCTGGTGCATATCTCTAGCTACGTTCTGGGTGAGAGGTGGGATCACCCTGGACAGGTCACCAGTCTGTCGCAGTATGTTCAACCAGCTTAAAAATAAATCGGTAATCAGATTTATTATTTGCACTTTTACTAAGTGAACTTTCTAACTCCCTTAAATCTGAAATTCCAATGCCAACATTGTTTAAATCTTTTATCTTTGGACCCCCTACAGAGTGACGTCACACCTGCAAGATCCTATCCTTACCTTCCTGCTAGATTGCAAAAAGCAGCTTGCTCATGAGTTGTCAACTTAACACGCTAAATCTTAAATGTACGTGTACAAATAAAAGAAAAAGCGGCGCAGTGCTTGCTACTGAATGGCAACACTATCAAAGTCAGGAAAAAGTTTTAAGTAAAGCCGGGATTAAAACAGTAGCTACAAGAAGCTTCAAATAAAAGGTGTTCTTTATGTTCAACCTAAACACCAACTCCGATAGACCATCAGTAGAGCAGGTGTTTAAATTAATCAATCACTGCTGCCAAAGCTTATAGCAGTGAAAGCTAATATACCACAGCCATCACTTAATAAACGCAAAATAAACAACCCTCTAAAAACGGAAAACTGTAATGGACTGAAAGTCCTGCTTTTTATGTGGGAAATTATTTGTGTGTGTTTTAGTATAATTCTGATATATTGGCGCTGTTGTCTGTTTCTATGGCAACGATACTGAATGTAGTGTAGCTTAGAGACCTGCATGGGTCGAGTTTTACCAACCCGCACCCGCCCGAACCCGTTAGGATGACTACCGAACCCGACCCGCCACCCGCGGATATCTTCAATTCAAATCCGAACCCGACCCGTTGATATTTAACCCGCAACCCGACCCGTTAACCCATCATAGGCTATTGTACGCTGCGCTGCACCCAGTGCCTGATTAATATAACATTTCTGATGTCCATAACAACACACACGCATAAAAAAAATCCCCAACTACCCGCCCGCACTAAAAAAATATACGCCCGACCCGTTTATTTTTTTTAATGTATTTTTCGCGGGTACCCGACCCGTTGCAGGACTCTAGTGTAGCTGACATGACAGGGCCGGAAAAAAGTGGTTTGAGTTTTTTTTCCAACGGTTCAGTTATATTTTAAATACGGTATTAACTTATTTTTACACTATTCTCTATTCTTTTACTACTTTAAGTCTCTCCTGACTAAAATTAGGTCTTAATATTTCCACAAGTCCCTCTCACCTGCAAGTCTGAGTCCACTTCTGTCCCTGAATGGGTTAGCATTTTTGGAGGGAAGCGACAGGGGAGAGGGCGGAGGGGGGTGATGGGGACAAAGCGAGAGGCAAGAGATTCTTTTTTCTGATTTTTTTGTTGGGGTTTGTGGACGGTGAGCAGCGGGGAGAACTTTTTTTATTTTCTTTCTGAGGAGCGGCATGAATGGGGTTTTAATCAGATATACACAGCACCGAAAGCAAAATACGTGTACAAAATATTGGTGGGGACTGTCCCCCTACCGGTCAAGATTGGTGGGGACATGTCCACACCAGTCCTTAAGGAAGTAACGCCTATGCACAGGACAAACAACGTTTCACGCACACTCTCTTTGTTTTTTTTCTCACGCACAAATAGTCAAATATATATTATTATATGATTATATGATCATGAAAAATATAATTATCAACAAAAAAGATTTTAGATATTTTTGCCAAGACATTTCGTGAAATGTATTTTTGTTTTCTAAGTTTATTGTCTTGTTATATTTGTTACACATTTACAAGTGTAGGCTTTGTTATTATGTCTTATTTTTCTAATAGTTGTTTTTTTTTTAACTAAAGGAAAACCTCACGTGAGAGTGAAAATGTTTTTGTTAATTTGAGCAACTTTTTTTTTTTTCCTTTTTCAAAATGTTCCATTTCCATCACGCTTTTCTGAATCAATGTGCATTGGAAGAGGCTGGTGGAAACACCAACTTCTTCTGATGCAGTTGTAATCTTCATTGATAAAAGTTAATATTAGCTTTGGTCCTCAAGGTGCAAAATTAATATCATGGTTTGGTTTGGTCATGAGTAAACAAATGTAATGCCATAATTCAAAATCTAAATGTTTTTTTTTTTTCAATGTCATATTTAATTATTTAGTTTTACATTTTATGATTGAATTGTACATTTATTTATTTAATTATGTACTAAATAAATAAACGGTAGATTTAATTATTTAATAGTAAAGTTAATGGTAAATGTATTTCTTTAATTTCACGTTTAATTTTTACATTTATCTACATCATTATATAATTACTCCCATTTTTTTATGCAATATTTGTGCTTTGATTTTGTTATAGCTCAATAAGGTTTTCTTTATGATTGTTTTCTGACTTTTCTTTTAATTCTCATTATTATTATAATACAATAATAATAATACTATTAAAACTCATAAACAGTCACTTTACAAGCCAGTAGATAAAAGCTACTTATACCTGACCCATTATTGTTCACTTTTGAAATATAAAAAGCAACAATGCCATTCCGTATTGTTCCAGACCTTTTCTTACTGAAAATATATCATGGACAGGTGAAAGAAATTGTACAAATATCCATGAAGGCTTTTTATTATATTTTTTTCCTTGCGCCATATTTTTAAAAGAACGCCAATAAATAGGGTTCAACTCATAAAAACAGAGAGGCACGAATGAAAAATGTTTTTTTTCCCCCATAAGCTTTGCACTAAGGAGGTTCCATAGATAAAGGGGGCGGGGTCAGGAGTAAGGCTTCTTTAAAAATAGGTCTGCGAGAGCCTTTTCTTGCAGGCGACATGTGAGAACGGACCGATGGAGACTCTCGTCAGCTGCTAAAGTTACTGCGAATGGCAACTTCTGGCAAAGCTGCTACTGAAAAGGCAGCCATAACTGTTTAAATTTGCCCGCAACCCTAAGGTGACGTCGACCATGGATATCCGCATTTCTTGTCAGGTTGGTGTCTTCGTTAACGCACGTTATCCGTCCGCGCGCCATAATAAATTTGCTAGAATTATCCCGCCACGAGTTTATATATGTCTTAACCTTACAATTGGTCAAAATACCCAGTTTTAAAGCTGTTTTTCATTAGCTGTAGGCAGAAACACCAGATTCAAGTATATTTTACATGATTGACTTTAAATTTATTTGCAAAAGAAGTAAAAGAAAAAAGCGACTTAAACTCAACTGGCAGAGATTTCTCAGTATTCGTAACACAATATGCTTATGTTCTAGAAATAGAATCGTCCATTAGGATGGTTGTGTGATTATGTCATTGTACCAAATATGGGAGAATTATCCTGCCATAATGCAAGAGCACATAATTTCAATTTGAGAAAAGAATTTCATCTTCTTGCACTCAAAACTTATAATGCTCACACTCAAAACATGAGCTCTCTCTCAAATGGAGAAAAGTGAAATCAGTCATGCCTTCCTGCTGAAACTACTGAAACCACATTGGATTGAAATTAAATGCAGCAACAGCAGAAGGATCTTCATTGCCCTACCAAGAATTTTGCGTTCCTCTTTTTTTTTTCTTCTTCTCCGACTCAAATGTTAATTAGATTACAGCTTTTTGCAGCTATTCAGTGGAGGTGGTGCTCTTCCGCAGACAGGAAATGTTTATCAGCCTCCCCCTCCCACATTTATTTCTTCAAGTTGAAAAACAAGAACCCTTTTTTATTCTCCAGTGGCTCCTTTCTTGATCAGACATTTAGTAGTTAACATAATAAATATAAAGTCACAGCAACTAATTCAGATTAATGATCTCTAAATGGTTATTTGATCAAGTAGAGCAAAGCTTTTGAATCTATTTAATTTTTTTTAACTGGGCACTCACTAAAAGCAAACTGCTCAGTGGCTGATATCTAGTAATTATTCATTTATGTATTTAGAAAAACTACAATAATGTTCCCTTCAAGTAAAGCTGAAAAACATGAAAAAGCATAGATTTTTACTATTCAAATTAAACTCGAAACGAAATTTGAAACAAAAACCCTGAAAACAATCATACTTTTTGTTACTTGTATTTCTTTTTATGATCAGTATATGTGTTTGTGTTGCTGTGATTCAATAGTTCACAGTTCTGCAGCTATCAATAGGAAGACTGCAAAGCGGCACTAATCTATAATTACCTATATTGTTATCCCAATAGTACTGCTGCATAGCAGAATACATTTAAAGGTGCATAGTCGGAATGAGAACCATTTGATCTTGATAAAATAAAGTTTTATACAAAGGCTTTCATCCTGATGGTTTCTTAATATTCCCTTTTGAGCCTTAATTGAAATCCAGCATCAGGCATGATGAGCAAATATAAACAGCTGTGGCGCCATCTGCTGGCAGTACCTCAGAACTGTAAGGAAACCAGATGACTATAAAATGGAGCCTGAACAACATGAACATATCAGGAGCAAACAAAAAATTTAGAGCTGACACTAACGACTAATTTTTTTGACTAGTCTTTCGAATACTTTCCAAAAAAAATTCCCTCTTTTGGGGGCTTGCAGAGTAGATGCGGGATGGGGACGCAAAGTGAAAAGCTAAGTAAAAATTTTTGTTCTCTGAGTCTGGAGTCTGATGCCGTCTCCAAAACACAAATAGTGCCATGAATGTGCATGTATAGCGTTGTTCATTGTTCATTCTGCATATAAATAATAAATCTCAAGGGAGTTAGTTAGAAAAAAAAAAAGCCAGAAGGATGGATTGTTATGTAGAGCATAAAGAGGGGGAGCTCTGATTATTATTGCTGCTCTGAATTTTTCTATGGCGGAAAAAGTTTATAAATGCCCTAATTTACTAGTAATGTTAAAACCTGTCGACTGAAAATATTTGATTGTATATTCTGGTACTTGCAGTTTTTATCACAAAGCGTAAAATGCTTTATATTCAGTTCCAGTTGCTATGAACGGCAGCGGGAAATCTCCCACAGACTGCCTCACGGCGGTATGCTGTAGATCTGGCACTCCGAACAAGAACTGCTTATTTTAGTAGGATCATGATACTGATGAGCTGACTTCAAACAGGATGTGGACTTGGAGGTGGACTTTCTTGCATAAAGACATACCGTATTTTCACGACCATAAGGCGCACCGTACTAAAAGGCGCAGTCTCAGTTTTGTGTGCCATTTCTGTATTTAACACACACATAAGGCGCACTGGACTATAGGGCGCGTTTTTTATATACAGGTACTTGTCCTCTACTACGTTTAAATACCTCTACTGCGTATTTAAAAATACAGCGGGAGCAAAACTGAGTATGATTGTGCTTTATTCATGTATTTATTACAAAGTATTAATCAAACCTGGGAGCTGGCTGAAGACAGACAAATCGCAGATGACAGAGCGCTGTGATCACTCCTAAATTAACTTAAAATCCTGAAACCTGCCGACAGAATATGTTCGCTTTTATTACCGGTATCCTGGTGCCTGCAGTTTAAATTATTTAGATGAAAAACACCTGCCAGACGCCGCGGTGAACCCGGAGGCTACCCGGCCTAGAGGCTGCTGTTGAAGGGATTTCTACTGTCGGCGCACCGCTGGTATGTGGGGGTCTGAGCGCCTCCGACAGAAATAGTATAGGCAGGATGATAATCTGGATGAACTGACTGCAATTATTAAGTTTTCAGGTGGACTTTCTCACTTAAAACATATTAAAACTACTTTATTCCCACTGATCACAGCAAATATAGCTGCGAGATTTAGATTATTTATTATTTATTTTCATTTGCCTTAATATCATATGTCATCAGAGCGATGTGTCTGTCTCGCTGTCAGCTCCCAGATCAGCTTCTCTGATTGGTTGATGCGGCGCGTCCAGCAGCGAAACTTCAATTTTTCCATCTCAAGCAGCAGCAGCGCGTTGGCAGCGCGTCAGATGCTTAAACGCTCCCGATGCGCTGCGCCTGCTGTTCAAAACACGCTGCGGGACCTTTTGCTGCGCCTTGACGCGCGTCAACCATTGATTTTGCATGTAAACTCGCTGCTTCTGCTGCACCTGCTGCGTCCGGTTCACACCGATGTCCAGCGGTTGAATAACAGCAACCACAGTGTTAATTTCTTTCACCATGTTTTTCACATCAGCTGTGAGATGGGCACGTACGGAGTCACAGATTAACAGCGATGGTGATGAGTGGAAAAAACCACCTGGTCTCCTTACATTCAGCCACTCTTTCATCATCTTCTCAATGAGGTAGTCTCAAAAGTCGCAGTAACAACACACATAGGGCGCACCGCAACAAAGGGCGCACCGCACATTTTGAGGGAAAAAAAGACGTTTATGTGCGCCTTATAGTCGTGAAAATACGGTATTAAAACAATTTTACCAGCTCATAAAGTAAATAAAGCTAAGCTGCTCTGTAGCTTGAAGCTACAGAACAGATAAATAACCACAGCCAGAGTGCAGAACAGCACGAGCATCAAGGCGTTAAAGCAACTTGACTAAAGCTTGATCCAGTGTCCAGATTTCTGCATGTTTTTGACGCCCACATCTGAACTCTATCACTCGTTTCAGTTACTACCGGAAAGTATTCCCATACTTTAGATACTTTTGGTCTTCTACCAGATGCCTCCATCCTTGATTCAAACTAACTTGCCGCTGCAATTTTTATATCTCGCTCAAAACCAGAACCAACAGTAACAGAAACTCATGACAAATCCAGCTTCTGCTGGATCCATTGGTACTGTATTTCTGGAGCTATCTACTTGGTCCACAATCTGGCCAATATCTGTGAGGGTTAATCAAGACCACAGAAGCCACTTGCTGAATAAAAGGATTGAATAAAGACAAAAAATAAATAATTTGTCTAGACCTAAGGAACAAAACCGTGTAAACAAGTTGAGTGAGGAGACAGGTTAATGGAAGAAACTACTTGGGTCATATACAGTTGGAAACCCACAAGATAAGAAGTCATTACCCAGGGTCTGGGAAGGGTAGGGGAAGAAATCCAGAGGACTTACTGCAGGGGAAGTAGTCAGGAGGCTATTAACAAAAGAAGAGATCAGAAGATTGACCGGTGGCCTCGGAGACACCACAAAGAAATTGTTTTGGATCACAGTGGCATTTGGATTGTGAATGACCCTCTCCTCAATTAGACTGGTGATTAAGGACTGTGGGGCCGGAGAATATGTGCTTTGAATATGAAGATGGTTGTAAAGAAGAAATCATCACAGCTGGCATTTCTGATGCTACAGCTATGGAGAAGAAAGCTGCTTGTAACTTTAAGGATGTCGGAACGATTGGTTCAGGGGAAGCCTGGGCTCTCTGAGGCAAATTGTGCAGGTTCAAAGTCTCTCATACAACCTGCTGAAAGATGCTGGGGAATTGGAGCAATTAAGACGACGTTTTGAGGAAAGACTTGAAGCATTCCAATCCTTGGAGACTGGAGTAAAAGCATCAGCTTGACTTTCTTTGTGGATTTGCACAAACTTTGGCAAAAGGATACATCATTGTAGAGATGAATACTTGGAAACAGTTTATTTCGTAGGGGTTTAATTTTGAAATTCTACATAAGACAAAGACATTTAAGTAGGAGCTGGACTTTTTTTTCCTGTCATCCTTATGTTGGAGTAGAAACTGGAAGAAATATTAATGATAATAGTTACTTTAGGAAATAGACACACATTCTTAAGTAATGAACATGCAAATGAAGTAGAGATACTATACCTCTGTATTCAGATGGACATTAGAAATATTTCTAAAACGTGAGGCAGCAAAATGACATGAACTAACTGTAATCAACATAAGTCAAAAATGTCTTTCATTTTAAATTTCTTTGTTTCCAATGGCACAATTTTCTTCTGTAACATAAGTGGGGTTGGCTGTAGGTATTTGCATTGGCTAGCTTTAAGCTTATTTAACATGTCTACATATGTCCAACATCTTTATCAAATTTCCATGTTGAGAATTTAATTGAGCCCCAAATTTAAATCACTCAACAGTTTTGATAAAAAGCAAA